TAGGGGGAGTGGGGAGAGGAGAGGAGAGGAGAGGGGAGTGGTAGGTGGGGGGTTTGGAGTGGAGCTATTGATATATGTAGGGATGTAGGTCATTGTAGGGATACTTTGAATTTGTATTTGGGGCCAATTAGGCTTTTCCGAACGCTACCTATATCATCGGTGCATCACCGCCTTCACTACTATGTACTCCGGTATCACTACCATCACCACCATTCATCATTGCCGCAGCACTTTACCTGAATCGATCAAATGCCATATAAGATCAATTACAATGTCGCAATTGGTTGAATGTTATCTCGAATGATGATTCGGTGATTATAATTCAACACAAACACTAGGAATCGAAAAGAGATACTACTGTGTTGCTGTATCTATTATCATATATTTCTCTTTCCATTATTTTCATCAATCGCCATCAATGGAGGTCCTTGAGAAGACAGAGAGCTAGCGCTTTGAAGAGGTTGATGGGTATGGCTGTATGATATGTCTGCCTATGTTATCATTGTCTACCGGTACTGTATCGGGAATTATATTTAAGGTAATCATAGGATCTCAAACCACAAACCGCTATTTTTCAAGAGTGTACCAGTCTTGTATTTAAACCCTGAGAAATCCATTACCCTATATTCTCATCGCATATCACACAAGCTCCTGATTTACCACCTCTCAGGCTCTCACATCCTCACCTCCTACATTAAGCGTCCAATTGCAAGTCTGCTATCCTATCCTATCGTAACTATCTACTTGACCGCAGTCCTGCAGGACATGAAACTTACCGAGCGGGTACTTGAAAAGATCCAAGGGGGCGAAATCTTCCGGTTGAACCTGCTTCCAAATATTGTCAAGTTCCTTGGGTGTCTTGTATGAAGGTCGAATCACTGGGACTTGCTGGACTAATTATCATGATAGCCATGGATACTGTGGTCGGGCACCACATGGAAGGCTATGGCATTTACGGCGATCATATATTGAAGGACCGAGACGTATATATGCTTGAATGGCATTGAGAAATACCTAAAGAGAACCCTCTTCTCTGTACCAAACCCACTAACACCCACAAGAACGGCTAGGATCTGATTTACCATCTAGTACAAGTATCCCATTTATTTGATATGGCAGCGTATACTCTTCCGATACTACTTTGGTTCAGGCCTAGGCTGAAGCTTGACATATGAGCCAGAGTTGATGCAATCTTTGCCTTTGCTGCCACAATTGCTTTGCTTCCTCGATCGCCTCAGACTTTGTCGGTTTCAAACAAACAAGTATTAGCTAGTACCCTAGTGGTAGTGCCATTCAGGTATTCATGGAGTCAAGGGTCACCATCTTATATACACGTACTCCTCAACACTAGAGACGCACAGCAGCAATGTTTCACCCAAGAAGATTTACTAACAATCCAAGCTCAGATCATGTACTTTCGAACAATATTTTTCAGGAATATCAACCAATCTCATAGTCAGAAAATAGGCTTATATCCATATGCGCTTGTATAAGAATACAGCCAGTACCGATAATCAAACGCAGGCTTGGCGGGGTATGAGCACGAAAAAGAGTCAAGGAGACCAGGAAAACTAGCCGAGCTAATTAGTTTAAGGAGGTAGGGCAAGCATCAAGCTATTTTAGATCATTCACGTGTTCCGGTATCGGAATTTTCAAGTCATATCATTTCTTTCATAGTTGCTAGGTGGGAATTTTAGGGGAGATGTGAGATCATTTGTCACGGTATCTTCGTCTTGTAGTACAGTATATGTATTATTGCAAATCACATTTTGATTAGAGAAATTTACTCGAGTATATACTTGTATTAGACATCTGTAGATCGTGTATCTTGGATGTACGATAGTCGATTTTATGAAGATAATGTATCCTTCTATATTTCCAAAAGTCTTTATCAACAGAACGGACGGCTCTACCTCGTCTACTGGCATATAGACCACATAAGTCTAGATAATAACATTTCTTTTCATCTTCTTCCCACCTAGACCCTTCAGCACTCCCGTCATGTTTTTATATAATTGTAATATGTTTTATTTTCCTCTTTCCTTCTTCTTTTACTTATTTAGATCTATTGTCTGGTGCCTATATCTAAAACTTGTATATAATCATCTTTTCAAGTCTTTATATATAGCTTTTCATTTTTAGAATCTATATAGATATATAGATATATAGTTGAATTCTCGATTCTACTTTTTTTGGTTCTACGTTTGTTTATAAGATTTAATGATTCGAATGAGTAAAGATTCTCGGATTTCTGATTATATCCATTGTCTGAGAGAACAAAGAAGTGTATGAATAGATCTCATCGTCTTGGTTTTGGTTTTACTCAACGGTCAGACCGTCAGACTTACTTACTTTCTTTGAGAATTGAAAGATGTCGGAAAGTATATATTCGGAGTAAAGATACTTTAGCCCCTCATACTCCTTCATCTTTACATTCACACCATTAACAAGCAACATCTAGAGACTTTTAGCTCCTCTGTACTATGGCTCAATAACACAGGAATCTGTTGAATAGGTAACCTACCCATCCCCTTCTTACCATCATGATCCGGATCTATTTCATATTTGAGAAAGCTAAGATGATCCGCTTGCGAGCTCAACTAATTCCCCGTCCCACAGTACGATGTTCTCAGCCTGATAAACTTCAGCTTAAGCTCGATCTCTCTCTTCTCAAAAAGTATATGTACACTGTGATTGCAGCTATAATGAAGATCTGGATACATCATATCCAGTCTTGTCTCTAAGTCCCCCAAATTGCAACTGTTGAACCACTGATGGATGGATGCATCGAAGTTTTTTAGTACATTGTCGCTCGGTGTCTGATGTGGTGGGGAAATATGGTTTTTGCGTGACAAAAAGCTATTTGAACTTAGACCCGTCTCTTGAGTATTCCGTTTTCCTTTTAGGAGAAGGGGAGCTAATTTCTCTGCAAATGATCTATGGGCGTGTAGGAAAAGTAGCTTTGTCTATTGGAAAGAATGGGATTTATAATCATTACAATTGCTTTGGCATAAGCTACATAATTGACGTCCATTTCTTGGGAAGGACGAGGATCCATGGTGAAATTCAAGTCACTTAACGTTACATAGGAAATAACTCCGAGATCCAGGACTTTTTTTTTTTTCGAGATACCGAAAATTGTCATCTAGAGAATCTGAGGATAGTATAGTAGGGCGGAAACTAATTTCAAATTGATAATTATACAATTGTCCGATCAAAAAGGAAGAAGTCTGATTTGGTGAGACCAAAGGTAGGAAGGAGGATCGGATTCGGATCACGTGGCTGTCCAACTTAGGTACTTACTTCACCGAGAAGATTCAGTCACGGTCGTGACTTGAGCCATACCAACTTTCGCATTTCTTTTGGTGGTGCATGCATCTGTATAAAAGATCTTCTGAATCCAGCTTTAGAATTGAAGCTCTGAAATTTATAACTTGAACGTCGCAAGCCAAATATTTCTTCGCTCAGATCATTAAATATTTTGCAACGTGTGTTTCAATACTATACTCGAGTACAAGTGATTGATGGTATTCTTCGGCTAGTTGTTGTTTGAAACCCAAATCCAATAGTATCTTCTCATGATCAGTACAGTACCAGTAGCTATATATATACTGTGACACTCAATTCTACAACGAGACGCCCCTGGCTCCCCTTTGTAAGATCAGATCACAAATCGCCAAGTTAAAAAATCAGTGTAACTTTATGCCAAGATCATCCACACCCAATTTCTACTCGAGTATGTACTATGTATAATTATTGATATTGATGTTGATATTGATATTACAAAACATGACTCGTATGCTCGTATATGTAACCAAGCATCCATTGGCAACTGACTGAGTTACTTCAAGGATTCATACAATGTTGCACTGTTGCATTGCAGTAGTTGGTAGGTACCTGTATTGTTGTACCGGTATTGCTGTGCCTCAATCCAGGTATGCAAGCAAGTGTGGGTGTACTCGAGTATATAATACAGGGGTTTGAATGTGAAGTGATATGATTGTTGGGTAGTATTATCTATCTAGTCATTCGACGATTGTTATGATATCAGTGGCTAGCTAGGCTTGCGTAATAATAGACGAGTAGATAGTTTTTATTTAAATTGTTTGTATGTTATGAGATAAAATCTTAATTATTGTTCGGTCATTGCATATTTGGGTATCTTTGCTCTTTAGCCAGTCTTCGCGGCCCGCTCTATTTCCTCCCACATGATTCCGATATATAAACTCCAATGAAAAAAACCTTCGTCGCCCTCGAAATATATATAGTAGAAGTGAAGATTGCCATAAAGGGGTAGTAAAAAACTGTAAACAAAAGTTTGTCGCATCCTTGACATTGGCTTTCACAACCCATTCTTTGCTCCTAAAACGCCATTCATAATTCCCTACCACAGTTCACCTGGCTCATCGTAATCAAATTTGCTCCTCACAGTTTTTGCGCCAGCCTGCTCTTCAAGATATCTCTTCTTGGTCGCGGTTAGAATCTCCGGCGGCACATAAGGCTTGATAACCCATTTCTGATCTCCGTTTTCTGGCCCAACTCGAGGTTCGTCATACGGACTTCGTTCTGGAGGATATCCCATTCTGACCCCCTGCCTTTGACGCTCTATTGCAAGTTCTTCTTGCGCTTCTTGCAGTTGTTTAATGTGTGGATTCCCGGCGTCGGTGGGGGTGAGGGGTGGAACTCTTTGTAGTGGGTAATATGTGGGTGATAGTTGGCTAGGTCCATTATATCCTCCTGTAGTCCGCGGATAAGAAGACGGAAAAGTTGGACTGAAGTTTTGATTTGGTGTATTGATTTGGCCTGGGCTCATAGTATTACCTCTAAGACCGCGTAGGGTCTTAAGGCTGGAGGCAAATGAGAGAGGGGATTTCGGAGTGGTCGGAGGAGGTGGAAAGTAAATGCCGTTGCTGCTAGTCTTGCTACCTTGTCTCCCCCGCTCTCGAGGAGAGTCATCTTGGTCGGGAAAAGTAAACGTGCGAGGGGAGGTGCTTGCGGCAAAGAAGCGATTCGGGCGATTTCGAAATCCAACATGGTAGGGATATTGATAATGAGGAGGAGTTTCGAGGGCACGACGTCGTCGTGAGCGAACAAAATAGATGATGAGAGCGATACATATAAGCACAAAGGGAATAGTTAGGGATAAAGAGAGGATGAGGCCTAGTTTGTGATCTTTCTTATCACTTTCGGTACTTGGAATCGTGGAGGTAACGTTGAAGGTATTTGAGGCAACAGACTGCGCTGTTGGGACGGTGCTGTTGCCGTTATTATTGAGAGCGCCGGGTTGCTGATGACTTGTTAGCATGCCTAATGTGAGAGAGTTCGTCCAGAAACTTTCGGATACAGAAAATTAACGAAACGAGTGACGTCGATTCATGCTTCCGAGAGCTTCCGAGAGCTTTCATCGCTCAATCTATCACCGCATGTAAAGAAATATTTCAAAATAAAAAGATGGTAGAAACAGGATTGGATGTATGGCAAAACCATTGTTTGTGCCAGTCAAACGTATCAACAAGAAGCTGCCTGTACACTTTTTTATAAGAACGCGCAGATGATTCAATGACCAGGAAATCATGATGAACATCTCAAAATTCGAGATTTAATAAGGCAAAGCTTACAAGTAGTAGATAAAACACAGAGGATGCAGAGAGTGAGTATGTCTGAACCGTCCAATTAAGCCACGTATCCGAGCCATTGTAGGATTCTAAGATATCGGCATTAGTAAGACTCACAAAGGTAACGACAACGTAAAACAATAGTAATACCTAAAAGTGCTGGACCCCTCGAGTATCCATTTCCATCTGAATTCTGATTCCATAACGCGATTGTATAGTTATTGAGGCTCGTTTTCCATGATAACATTTGATGGGACCCGATCACCCATGACGGATTTTGAGTTGCCTCTGCACTCGGATTAATGAATACTCCAGGAGATGACATGGGTGACGAGGTTGCCAGCACCATATCAACGAAAAGGAGCCAAGGCAACATCAAATACATAATTTTTGTGTCAGTCGAATGCAAATTTACATCGCAGTTATCGAAACACTAAAGAGAGAAGACAGAAACATAGAGTTTGGTGTGTGCTACCATACCGTTCTATATATCAAAAAGAGGAGGCGATTGGTTTAGGATAGGTATACCTTGTATACCTTGAAAACCTCCCATCTTCAATACGAAAGCAAAGATCGCAGACATTACGAGGATCGACGGGATGACACCACGGCATACAGCCTGATAGTGGTATTAATGCGGAATGCCTCCTCAACCAAACCCTCGGGTCCCCTTCAAAGTCTATGGACCTTTCAATTGACTGCGGATAAGTGATCTTAAGCGCGTACGACTGTATTAAGTGAAAAATGTGTGTGGACGACCCCAGTAAACTTGGAAGTATGAAAAACAGCAAACAAATCCTATCACAATAACCAGGAATAAAGTAATCAAGTGGGGTCCAAAGAGCTTGTTGGACGTTTAGCCGGCATATTAGAAATGCCTGATACATAGAAATGAGCTGGGTTCGCTTTTATGGATGCTGTGATTGGGTGCGGGATACGGAAGGAAGTACGAAAAGTAGATATGAAAATAAAAGCAAGGACCATTCTGGGGAAAGAGATCTAGATTCTGAGCAAGTCGTCGTGGGGGCAACTATTCGAACTACCGTGATCTATATCCGTGTATAATCGCTGGGTTAATATCTAACCTTTTGCCAAACCAAGATCTTTAGTTGAGAAACTTCTTTTGGCAGAGATACAAGGTAGGGGGCATGGGATCAAAAAGCAAACACAGAAAGAGGATTGAACATGGAACTATTCAATATACCGGTACAGGTGGGTCTTCAGAAGATGCAAAGATGGCATTTAGGAAGGTGGAAGACGTTGATCCCTTTATTGAACAGATATCATCACCAATAAGAAGTTTTTGACAATCTAAATCCCTGCTGCTGCAGACTGATGTTGAGTTCTGCACGAACCACATCACACCCTTCGCCACACCCTTACATTACATTTACACATACCGGATCACCTCTTTTGATAAACAACAAACTCAAAAGAAAGCAACTTGGGTGCCATACGCATTGGAGAGGCAAACTATCTAAGACTAAGACTAAGACTAAGACTAAGACTGCAGGCCGTCACCATAAGGTTCTTTCTCAATTGAGATATCTGACGTCCACGAGACATTATCAACCGGGTTTTCAACGGAGCGAAGATTTGAGCACCCTTTTATATGAGGGTCTCGAAGAGTAAATATATATTGATCTTGACTTCGAATTAGTTTCTAATATGTTCCGGGGGACATGAGGCTTGTCTTCCTGTGAAGGCTTCCCCTGTGTTGTTTTCCAGGAAGTCCTCCCGCCTCGGTTTTGTTACGAACCTATGGATTCAATTACTACAGACCCCAACATTTGGCAATTGCTGGCTGATACATCTATTGACGAGGATGCCGGCACTCCCAAAAGATCAAATAATGATTACTTAAGCTCCTCACGTGTGAAGTGATGGACAGAACCAATATGTGCTCTCTCTGTTTTGTTACCCCCCTTTTCATCGCCATGCTTCCTAACTGCTCAATATTTCCTGCCCTTAATATTTAAATACATACATATTCACGGGGCGTTTATCTTACTGGAAACTTTGGCTTCTTTGTACATGTATTCATGAGTTTATTCAAGAAATGCTTTGGTGTACAGGCGTGACTTGATTTCAGACGGATCACAAGTGTGACGGGTTCATTATCAATACAGTGGCGAGGAATTAATTATCTTGAGATGAGATGAACATATCTATGGTTAACGGTGTTGTTGAACTCTCCCGCAACAAATCGAAGGATCGATAAAATGCCCTCGTCGTAAAGATGTTGTACAGTATATATAACGTCTGATTCACGTGCGATCTGGTTACCATTGTTCATCCCGCTCAATCCCTCTACCCAATAGTATATCTGGCCAACCTTCCTTACCTACAGCAACCATTGTGGTTTGTTATTTCAGCATAGTGCATGCTTCGATAGTTAACCAGATCATACCCAGCCAATGAGAGTATCCTCAGATGATGTTGAGACAATCAAGTATCATCCACCATTCTCGTCTCATTCTTAGCTTCCACCACATAATTAATGCGAAAATTGGCTCGCTTCGTCTCTCATCTGAACTTCATAATTAAAAAATAGATTGATGCTCCCACAACAGAGTCCAGATGGCTCAGTGGTAGCGCACTGAGTTTTCACATCCCCTCAAACGGGACCGCTGCTTAACATCCGAAGACTTTGTTTGTTGAATAATTTAAAACTCAGTTCGTCTGGTTTAATTTCAATCATCGATGATGCGCTGCCTAGGATGAATGAAATTTTGCCGTTTTGTTTTCTTGTTTCTATTGATTTTGTCATCAGGACAATTAGTATCAGAGTAGAAAACAAGTCAGGTTTTAGAGTCTAGACGGAAGAGGCTCCACTTAGTATTCTACAGATTGATTTTATTGTTCAAAGAATTGTTCTGGGTGCCTCAAAACATCCAAAGTGAATTGGAATATTTTTGACTTTGAGCTATGAAAGTTAGCTCTTCATCCAAAAAGGTTTTGTTGCACGTCTCACTTCTGAGAGTGTCTCTTTTCAATATCAAATAACAAGACCTCCATGGGTTCAAAACCTTTCATTCATATATCTCTGGTTAGAAAAGAAGCAAAATTGTTGCATGATGAAAATTTCAAACGATTATATCTCATTGTTGATTTGTTATAGAATTTTGAGTTGAACAGTGTGTTTTTGGTTGAGTTAAGGAAGGGAAATTGGCGATGATACTATTTATTTACTACCGGTATTTACACTATCTACACGAGCCATCAATACTCCAACTAGTTCAAACTCTTCTTTTCTTGTTTGCTGATACGTTTGCATTCGGCTTCAAAATGCTAAGGTCAAGATTAATCTTTTCTCAACCTTTCCAAACACCCTAGATACCCGTCCAAGTAAAAATCTAATTATTGTTAGACAAGCAAGAGCCAAAAATTGCAACGGCATAGAATGTAATCACTTGACAGTGGGCATGGTAGTCATGACTGTATTCTAATACATTGGAGTGGTATCCCACAATCACATTCTACACGCATTGCATGACTTTCTCAAACTCTTTCTCTATTGTAACGTTGCAACATTGTGTAGACAAGTTCGATCAATTTACCTTATTCCTTCCTGATACTGTATAATCAGAAATTTCGAGAGTCCAGACTGAATTCATTAATGATTCCGGTTGATATGCTGAATTTATTTCGTGTGTTCTTAGTTCTATCCATTTAGTATATTAAGTCTGATTCTAACAATGAATTATATTGGAATATTGAATTTCCTGTACGATATTGGGATTCTGGAATTAATTAACACTTGTGATCTGCTCGTCTGAACTTTTGATATAAATATCTTATTTTTTGGAAAATCTAAAAGGTGCTTCTTTCCTCCAAAATCTGAAAAATAATATTTTCTGAATTGATTGAGAATGATTTTTTTAGAAAATCTGAAAAATACATTTTTCCTAAAGGAGAGTAAGCGATGGTAGGAGAGAAATAAAAGTCCACCCCTCAATCACCTCAATCACCTCCTAACCAACGCTCTAGCCCCCCTTACTCTCCACCTCCTTGGGCCCCAAATACAAATCCTCCCACGCATACAGATCATCTTCTCCCGTCGCTTTCCCATCTCTTCCTTTCATCCACTCATTTACTCGGGTTGGAGATACTATCCTACCTCTTAATGTCCTTACCCATTACTCTTCCTCTTCATAGCTATGAAAAATTCGAGAGGAGGTTCAGATATGAATAGAGAATCGGGTAAAGTAGTAAGTTCTACAACAACTTGATCATTAGAGATACCAGAAGAACAGAAGAACAGAGCAAATAATCAGAAAAATGAATATCCCCATGCACAATCTCTTTTCCGTGCAATGCAAATATAACCTGATGCATGGACTCAGAAATGTTTTTGCGTTGCGTAGATGGATCTGAACCTGGAATGAGGGTTGTTCTTTGGGAGAGTATGAGGCCCAGTTGGTCGTTTCGATCATCGTGGACGTTTGAGGGAATGGGATGATTTCCGTAAATGGTAATGTCGCAACGTCTGCTAGATGTGTGTGTTATTCGCGGGGCGTGGTATTCTGTGTTGTTATTTAGATCTCTTAATTAGTATGACGAAAAGGCTGGGTTGTTCAGTATTTGACATATAGTAGTGATGGATGTTCTGTGCTGCATTTTCCGGAACCTTTTGACGAAGTGATGATTTGTAGCTATTGGCCGAATCTCCAGAAATTGGTGCTTGGTATACCATATCCAAAAACTCCGCAATGGACGTCGCGGTATCATCATTCGGCACTGTCTGTCTCCATACGGCAAAATTATAATATCCATTCTTGGCAATTGGTATGGTGGTAGGTGGGTGGCGGTGGCGGTGGAAATGACGATGAGAGATCTGGTAGTCCCATCTTCAAATCCAGATTCATCAAAACTGACAGAACAGAGCTTGCTGTAAGACGGGTGAGCAGACAGTACCACCTGATTCGTAGCGCAAGAAGGCGATGACGAATCCCTAAGTGAGTAAGTGAGTTGGAGCAATCCACGATGTCCAAGCAACCCAAATCTCTCCACAACCGAAATTCTTTGTCTGAACGAAGCGTGTCTTCAGGGCTCAAGGTTCTATTGTTGTAGAAAAGTTCGTCGTTGCTTGATCTGGAGAACGAATGATCCATCTTTTACTGTATTTTTCCGCATCGAGAGATGCTAAGGATCCACTATGTAGAGCCAAAGTTTTTTGTGTTTATCGATTTGAATGGGCTTTGATGCATATGGATAATATTTGATTTCGAGCTCCGGTCATAGTACAGACTTGCAAAAGAAATTTTTTCTCTTATCTTCCCTTTTCGAAATAGTGGCGAGGTGTTTGTATGCATTTTGATATTGGAACATTGAGATCACAGTTGCACAATTACTCATGGTGATTGTCAATTAGTCTTTAGTATTAGACAATGCAAATTAGTACAGAAATGGTGACTGCCCCATAAATCAAGTCCCGGCAGGATCTCGATCTTGTCATTTTAAAACCAAATCTATATGATCTATAAGAATACTTAAAAGACTACCCCCAATCATTAGACTGGTGAGAAAGAGCCAGAAATGTGGCTAAAAACCGCGGTTGCAACTTTGCCATGTCGAAATGTATTAATGTAGCCACCATTAAACGTCGATAACCTGTAAATTTGCTCGTATATGGCCTTCTTCCGCCTCACAATCATCACCTGCGGCTAGTTCCCGTCACTTATCTGTAGCAATTACACACTAATTTGTGTCTACCTCGGACGGCAACTTCAGAATTGACAAGCATCATCTCGATCGGTACTTATATCAATGCAAAGTCTCACTTTATACTCATACCCATACAGTAGAAGTGTCAGGCAGGAACGTCAGTGGGATCAATCACAGTCGCGAGAAGCGTATTTTAAGGGTACACGTAAGCATGATACTATAGGGCCTTGTCCTAGGATATCGGATTTTGAGAGGTCGTGAAGTGAAGAGTTATTCCTTGTCTGCAAGGTCGCCAGCTACTTAGCTGTACCTACCATATTAGTAGCCATGATGAACTTCTAGGATTTCCTGTGCTGGGATGAGTCACTCTACTGCATGCGAAACAGAAGAATAAAGCTAAAACTATATTGTTCTGATGGTTCATGGAGAATCAAACTCATTCTTTTATTTCGTCTCCCATCTAAACAATCGGCAAATTGTACTTCCCGGCCAAACATGCCATTTTTCATTGCAAACTCAAACAATCCCCCGATAAAAACCAAGTTTCTTTTTTATTTGAACGCCGATTTATCCGCATAATTGTCCCCAAATTCCATAGCCCAGGGTGCGGCCCATCTACCAATGTGAAAGGAAAAACTGCTACCTCCAATTATTCATCTCATCTTGACACGAATCCTGCATGCTCCAGATGTAGGTTACCTTCACAATAATGTTCCGCAGCTCGTACTTGTCCCGCAACATCAACCAAATACCAACGAAAACAATCCAAGCCCCCCTCCGTCTCAACCAACTTGCTGCCTGCTCAGAAGACCACAGAAACGCTGTGAGTCGTCTCAGTATACATGGCTCCCGAACTCTTGGGGAAGTGGTATTCTTGGAGGCGAAAGGGAACTTTTAGGAAGATCTTGTCGAAGGGTATTGGGAGTAAATGATCTTCCGTGCAAGCAATGGCGATATGTTGTGAAGGGAAAGATATTTCTTAGAGCATGGATTTAAGAAGTTTGGACCAAAGTAAAGATGAAAGATCGTGAAACGAAAATTACAAAGGAAAGAAAGTTAGACAAATGCTGTGTTTGTGCGTAAAAGATTGTGGTTGTTTTTTGGAGAATTTGCAAGCATAGTGGTGGGATCATCGAGTGAAACCAAGGATTTAGCTAATGTGACGATAGTATCCCGAGTGCACAAAGTTTCGGGAAGGGTTGAGAAACATGACACTCTAAGATCGAATGTCAGTGGATTTTTTCTGCAACATGATGCTAGAAACCAAACGAATGGAAACATACCGACGAGTTAAATGCCCCATTTCCGAATCAATATGAGACCCATGAGAGCATTACACACTGTTATTCGGTCTTGAACTGTTGGAGTTGTAAGTTGTAAGTTGTAAGTTGGCTGTGGAAGTGTGGGAGTGTGGGAGTGTATTGGAGAACGATTGGCGGAGTTAGATGGTTTGGGACATCAAAAAAGAATAACCAAAGGAAAGAGAGGCAGGTGTCCGGGAGGCTAGCTCTAACCAATAATTGCCGAACTAGGCAGGGTCGATACTCATGGAGTATCTCCAGAGTTATTTCTGGCTGTCACATCTTCCTCTTCATCAAAAAACTCAGAATGGAATACACATTCCTTAGAGGTTGAGTTCGAGCTACCTTAGAGCTTACTGATATGGGAGGAAAGTTGGGAGATGACTGCTTTCAAGTATACTTATCAATGGATAGAAGATAACTCCTTAGAATCATAATTGGTCGCGAGAATACCAGTCAGCCATACCAGTCAGCCACGGTGGTGCCTGGCTATGCACAAGGTATTCTTCTTCTGCCTCTCGTGCACGCCTCTAGAGCCTCTTCACTTGGAACACTAAGCCAAAGTACTGCTCGTTTCACAATATTCCAGCCTATAGACTGGCACCTTGGACGTGGTCAGAGAGAAGGTGCAGTAGTTGTTAGGACCCAGGATCCTTCGAGGAGAGTGGTAAAATTATTTGAAACGCCAACGATTAAACAATCAGAAACTTGGAGGTTAAAATTTTGCCTACGATAACCTCCTCACCGACCAATGACTTCGACGTCTTGAACATACGCTTGGCTTCATGGATTAGAGTAAAGCCAAACGCCACTGTCATTGGCAGCCACACTTACATAAAAAATGCCAAAAAAGTGAAGTACAGTAGAAGGAAATACTCAACACTATTTACAATGTTACATGTGAATACACCTTCTCCGGAGGAAAATACCAGGGAAAAATTGATGGCAACAGGATCTCACCTTGAGCCGCAATTCGACGATGGCTTTTCCACGAAAAAAACCCTTCCAGAAGGTTGAAAACATTCGACCTGCTCTCAAAATAGATTCTCAAGATTATGTCCACAACTTGGACTAGAAGACCATAGGTTGAGGTTTATTTGCAGGCCTCATGAGAAAAGGAAGAAACCAGACAGAAAGTAGGAAGAGTATGCTGGTTTACTCGTACAGTAAGTACAGTAAGTGTAGGTACTGCAAAATACACAGCTCGATCGACCTTGAGTATGACCAAAGAAAAGAATTGGAGTGCTGAGCGCGTGCGATAAAGATCGTTGTTGCACTTGTTGGCAGTACTGAATTGATACGTTATCAGTTGAGGTTATCATGACCGCCAAAATGAGCGCTTGCCGCTTATCGACCGCGGTTGTTCTGTATTTGTCCCTTACTAACGGGTCTTTACACTGAAGAATCACCCAAGTGGTTAGTTCGCTGTTTGCGCCTTCTTATCTCACAAGCTCTTTTTGCGTATACAGAAATTAAGTGACCCATCGGCCAATACGGCCAGTAATCGAAGGCAAAGCAATTGCACAACATGGACATATCTACTCAACCAAATGTGGAGTAGTATATGGTATGGTTTACCAACAAGTCGTATATAGTGTGAAAGTTCTCCTAGTCCTCATGCTATTGATAGTAAAGTCAAGTCATCTTAGTCTACGCTGAGGTTCAATCTAGTGGCGCGGTATTTCCTATTTCATAACTTTCTTTTTTTTTTCACTCATTTCAAAGTCACTCATTTGCGTTGTTGTCACTAGTTAGTGGCATCATTACAATCCTACACCTTCAAGATGTCCGGTCGTGGAGCATGGAAGCCTATGAGTAAGTTGTTCATATATCATTGCAGAGCAAAATTTGACTTGAGCTCTCACAGACCCGAAGAACATTATTGTTCGAGCTTCGGTATGGATAATCGGAGCCATCCCGTTTTTTACCTTTGCAGGTAAGCAAATTTGGTCCGCTATATCAATATGTATGGGTGAGCTGACGTGTTGATTCTTAGCCATGTCGATCGCCGGATCTGCGACAACAACTCCGGGGATGCAAAACGTCTACATCGGGCAAATCGCCAAGGTTGGCACCGATGGATCTAAAATTGGTGGATTAAGGTTCGGCTATATGGGTTAGTGATGATCGATCTCCTCAACAATCATGTGATCCCCCCGACTAACAAGCTATTAGGTCTTTGTGCCTATGTGGGAGTGGAGGGAAGCAATGGAGATACGTTCAAGAATACGAATGGTTTCCAATGCATAGGCAAACAGTATGATCAGTCACCCGCTGAAATTGCCGCAACACTTCATGTCGATTCAAACATCGTACAATTAGGACAAAAGTTACAGAACGATATATCCATGTTTATGCCTATGGTCGCACTGTCACTGTTCCTCCTAGGATTCCTCGTTGATACCTTTGCATGGCTCTTCGCAGGTCTAGGACGACCTGTTGGTATGGCCGGTACAATAGCTATGCCATTTCTGTGGGCAGCCGTAGCCACCAGTCTGGGTGCAGCATACACCCTCACTGTATCCGTTAACGCAATCAACACGGTACTTGGCGATTCAGCCGTAGGATGTTCTGCGAACGTACATATTGAACAAGGTAAAACACTCGAAGGGCTTCAGTGGGCTGCCTTTGGCTTTTCTCTCCTCTTCGCACTTGGTATCTTCATGATTACTAGAGATACCATGTACGGATTCAATATTGCCCCTCGTGCTAAATCCCGTGGAAGAAGAACGGAAGACGTATACCCTGATGCGTATTCCGAACAAGAACGGTCTGTAAGCTACGAGAGATAAAAATAGTCAGCAAGTTGATGTATCAATCATTATGTAAATCAAAATATCGACATTACTGGCAAAACGGGGAACAGCAGTTTAGGAGGGGATCAAAGACGCTTGAGGTGGCGTTTATGAGGGGTATACACATTTCTGTTTGGTTGTGTGTTTTGATGTTATGTTTTTACTTCTTTTGCTAGTCAGCTAGAACAATATGATTTAATTCGTCTTATCCTCTCAGTGTTTAAATGGTGGTTGTGTATCTGAGAACAAATTAAGTGTCATAATCTTCCAGATATAAAACTATCTGTCTTTCTGGAATAACTCAGATTTAACCACTGTTTGTCCATTATTCAGCCTAAATTTATGTTACTGTGATATTTCCAGACACTTAACTCTCCAATCGAAAATATTTTCCACTACAACCTCTGTGGAGTGTTGTGCATCAAATGTATTTCAGTATCTGAATACTTGGATCCGATATTATCAACATATCAACAGGTATTGCAAAACAACACCCCTGCTTGAACACGATAAAAAGAGATAGGGATATATAACACTCCCCTCCCCCTACCTGACCGATTATGAGTATAACCCACGCTTCACCATTCCATTTCTGCCTCACCGTGACATTTGACCAAAAGTCACGTGTACCGTGACTCTTTTCTCCACCTTGCGTCTTGAGAAGCCGATTTCCTCAAATACCGCCCCCATCACCGTACCTAGACCCCAACGAAGACACCATCCCTGAGAACAGAGACAATCTGCTTCACAAATCGATTGGACTGGATTGCAAGAAAGTAAGTAACACCCACTACAGTCTCTTCGTACACCGTCGTTGCGAACGCAAAAACTGCTGTATCATCTTGCGCGAAATATAAACAAAACTTCTACCCTGCGAAGGTCTTGAAAAGGAAAAGAGAGTCCTCCAGAAATCCTCTCCATACAAGGCTCACAGTTCACATGTATCGATGCTAGTCCAGGCTTTAAATAAGTCAGCACCGAATGGACAGATTAAACCTGCACAATGACTACAAACTGTCCACGTGGGTAATGTTGCGAAAAACGTTGCTTATGTATACCCGATAGTAACGATGATGCACAATGCTCTATTAGCAAGTAGGGCTCTGAATGTTAAGGTGATTATAGTTTTCCCGCCACACACATATATATTCCATGTACTTTGAAATGAAATAATGCAAGGCTTCAAAATAAAGATTAAGGGAACTAGGGAAACGTAAAATGTTTTTTTGTCCATTGGGATTCGAGCACAGTGTTCTACTTCTCTCAGGGAGTAGAGCTTAACTAATGCTTGTTATTAGGAGTAGGAGAGGAGTAGTCAATTTTTTCAGGAAAGGAAAATAAAGGAAATATGAAATTGAGATTAGGAGTGGATACGAGTGGAGAGGGTATATTAGAAAGCCAAGAGTTCGACCGAGGACGAGTGCATGAAGATAGCGATGAACCTGTAAGTCGAAATTGAGAAGTTCATGAGTAGCATACCACCGTTCAGCTTGAACCTGACGACGAAGGCGCCTCCACGCACCCTTTGTAGCAGTTGCATATGAATTATGTGCCGTATCCTTTGTTAAATTCCAGACCAGCTGTTTCTAGTTCGAGCTATTTCTGAACAGTTGTGAATACAGGGCCATAGTGGACGAAGCTTAAGCACCACACAAACCTTATCCGTGACTGATCTGTATACAAGACGCGACCAAGCCCGAGGTTCAGAATCATGGTCCGTTGCTTGTGCCTGTGAGAGTTGTAGGATCAGATGCGACCATTTTGCCACACTCCAGCTTCTTTCTCGACCGCGACGGTGACTCCAAATCCGGAACCAAAATCATACTCGCAACGCAGCAGTCATAGCAGAGCTTCGCTAGAAACATGGTTGAAGGTTCTAATCCTATGTCCGTAGTAAGACTCGACCCCGTCAATATGAAGCTGAAGAGCGTCGGGATAAGACTCTCTGATTCGGTCTCGAAAGCTCATGTCGTGTAGCTCCGAAACTTTGATGCTCTTCGTCGTTGTTTAGAACATAGATGGGTGTCTCGTCTACAGCACATCATAAATGTAGATGAACGTGACGTCAGGAGGATGTTGGAGTGTAAAACAACGATCAGACTCATCAGCTACTTGCCATAGAGCAATCCCACGGGCCAGTGCCAGTGTAACATCCACTTCGTAGGTATCTGAATTTCAAAGTCAAGATAGGACAATCATCGTAGATTACCGAGTAGGATTTAGATGAATTAATGTATTGAGGCAGGTACATTGAACTACTCGTAGCTTAATCCACTCTTTTTCGGACCAGGAGAAATAGGGTATAGACCTGACACTAAAACTCAACAAGAATTCACCAGAAAACTAAATCGTGACAGCGAGCTCCCAAGTCTCAAAGAAGTGAAATCATAGTTAGTCTCCGAAACTACTATTTGAAGCAATGCATTATCCTAGCCCGCACACCCGTACAGAAATGCGAGGCCACTTGGTTATCATAATCATGCCGGGTGAATTTTAATGTGATGAAACCGATATCCAGACGGAACATAAGAGATATTGAAGGAATGCCAGTCGAACCACCATATATATGCCAAATTAGCCAAGTTTGTGCATAGTAACATGAACAAAACGATATTGTAATACCGTTGAAAATTGATTGGCAAGACGGTTAGATGTCTCAGTACAACAAGTTCCTGCCAAGAATGACGAGGCTAACTACCAGCCTTGTTTTGATTGGTCGAGGCTTGACAACCATCCCCCATAAACAACGTAAACCTAGGTAAGTAGCTATCGATCAGCTCCATGACAACTCTCTATCAACAATATGACTTCCGAGGCCTCACGGCCATTGATTCTACCTCAGAATCGGAAGTTACGACACCTGCAAGGCATATACGTCCGAAATCTAACACTTTCCCGTCCACGAGGAAAAACAATCGACGATGCAGGTCTCAACAAATCACCACAGAAACTCGAAGCTTTGCGCCGCGAATCACAACTACATCATGCGCAATCATCAGGCGATCTACGACCTGCGAAGACGAGGAGATCGAGTTCGAATTGGGTTGGTGCAAGCCCTGCTATAAGACAAAAAAAGCTTGAGGATGTAAGGGATAGTCGTATGGCAGATAGCTTCTTCACATTACATTGCGAGGGACAGGATGATCCTATATATATCAGCGAGGTTGTAGGAAAGGCAATGAATCCCACATTTCGATCTTTCGATTTATCTTCGTTTGGTCCTGCGACGACGCGACTCGATACTGTTACTGTTAAGATATGGATCAAGCGACGAGACTTTGTTCCACTGATTGAAGAGGAAGTTAATCTTCAGTCTTTGCAGTTCTTAGGACGACTAGAGAACCACCCTTTCCCATCAAATTCGATTATATTCCACCTCACAGATGGCATATATACCATTGATCTCACTTCCAAACTACCTCAGCCAAGACCTAGCATTGCTCTTCCTACATCCTCCTACAATGCATTGATGCGCCTCTCAAATCTCGATGAATCCATTCAAGATGCTTTAGCTACCCGCGAAGAACTTACTTCTCAAATAAACGCTATCCTTACTAATAATACCTCTCCATCAACATCTCTCCCCGTTGCCCAAGAATCTCTCACCCTCGCCAATCGTTACGTCTCCGCCTCCCGAAAACTCCTCCACCACTCCCAAAATCGCCAAACTGAGCTCAAAACATCCATCTCCTCCCGACGGGCTGCCATTTCCTCCGGCTACACCGTCCAATGCGCTGCTGAATCCGACGTCCAGAACGCCCAAGAGCACCTCAATAACTCCCGCATTCTCCTCACAAACACCAGCTCTCTCATTCGCGGCCAACGCCGTCGCATCTGCGAAGAACTCATACAAACTTTCCCCATTGAACCAACGTCTCACCCCCTCCTCTTCACAATCTGTGGTCTACCTCTTCCAAACACAACTGATGATGATACATCGTCTTCCGACGAAGATGTTATAGCCGCCGCTCTAGGCTATGTCGCTCTATTAGTCCACCATCTCCAATACTATCTCGCAGTTCCCCTCCCATACCCCATTACGCCCTGCGCTTCGCGTTCTCTCATACACGACCCTATATCTCTCGTGCAAGACCGCCAAAGGATATTCCCTCTCTACCCCCAATCCGTCATCCGCTTCCGTTTTGACTGGGGCGTATTCCTTCTAAACAAAAACATTGAAGCACTAGCTGAATCCCAAGGCCTACGCGTCCTCGATATCAGACAAACAGTGCCTAATCTGAAATATCTATTGTATGTCTGTAGCGCTGGTTCTGAAGAGCTACCAGAGAGGAAAAGAGGGGGGGTGAAGGGATTATTGGTTGGGGGTGCTGGGGCCGGGAGAGTAGGGAGTAGGAGAGGAAGCGATGATAGTGCGAGAATGATGGGAGTAGGTGATGCGATTAGGAAGGCGTTGGAACATGGGAATGGATTGGAAAATGGTAATGGGAACGGAAATGGTAATGGAAATGCTCAGGCAGCAACTAATGTACAATTTAAAAAGGAGCCGTTAGTAATGGCAGGACATAGCTTGAGGACGAGTGGATTGAGGGAAAATGTTCATTAGGTATATGAGTTAAGGCGAAGGATAAGTTGGAAGGGCTTAGGTGCCCTCGGTATATAATATGGTTTATGCCCTGTGTAATATAACATTATATCACACTGGAGCTTGAATATAGCTACAAGTACTGTACGGCCACTATACATATACTATCGCTCGAGGAACTTCCCTAGCACACAACCCTTTCAACTAAGAATCCAATACACCTCTCAAACAGTCTCACGAGTCAAGATCACTCACACCCGCATGAACATATTACCAATATCACCAATCACAAATAAATTCAGACCCCACCCCCTCCTCATCCTCCGTTTTCCCTGTCTCTCTTTCCCCTCTTTCCCTCTTCCCCCCTCACCAATACCAACATACACCTCCACCTACCTTGTACAAAAATCCTCCACCCCCCTCTAATTCCATATGCATACTCCATCCTCCATCCTCCCCTTCCCCTCTTTTTCCTCGGTATCCCCCACACTTTTTTCTTACTTCCTAGCTCCCTCTTCTTCTTCTCGCACTTGTACCTTTACTCCTATTTTCTCTAGAGTAGATCATACAACTAAGTGTCTATATCGTGTCGTGCATCGTTTTCCCTCTCCATTTCAGTTTTTTCTGTACGGGTATACTATGTGATGTGTAGCCTGTATACTCGAGTATATATATAATATGTACTCGAGTATATACATACTGTAGTCGTATATATATATCTACTACAGTACCACGAGTAAATAAAAAAAAAGTAAATACAGTAGTAAACAGAACATCAGGAATTCCATACTCGACTCGGATATCCATATACTCGAGTAAATACTGAGTAGAAAGAAACCATACTCGTAAATAACATCTAATATAATCTAATCTAATCTAAACTAATTTAATCTAATCCAGTGTACTCGTATAAAAATGATCTATACAGCAACAACAATAAAGATGAATCCAAAATCCAATCCTATTACCAAACTTCACAATCCAAAAATACTCGTACGAGTGAGTACATTGCACAATACCAGTCAGTAGATGAAAAAAGAATAGTAGAAACGAAAAAAAAACACCCCCCAAAACTGAGAACTTCCCGGTTTTCACTCTTCCTTTACATAAAGAAGACTGCTTCTATACCTATACTCGAGCGTATACAGTACTCGAGTACTATACCATACCAGTAGTATTTGAAAGCTATACTTAGTACTGTAAATACGTCATGATAAACGAGTCATGATCAAGAAAATCCATAAGGAGAAGGGAAGAGAAGAGCTTTGAACAAGTGAAGGGTATTCAGGCTAGTGATTTCCATAGCTGCGTACTCACTCATTTGGATCACACAACTAAAGAAATTGATACAAAATACATATCTCGAGTACAAAGCACCCCCTACTATTACTATTTAATAAACCTAGCTTAGTGACCATCAAATCTCATTTCTTCATTTTATGACATCTCGACTCTTCTGTTTTGAGGCCATTCACAGAGTTCACAATGAGAAAGAAAAAGGGCTTTGTGTTTAGAAAAAAATATTTAGACATCATCGCAAGCATCCGCTAGAGATCATCGAAACAAATAGTTCCAATGCTACAAACATGCTAGAACGCCATTTTTCATGCATCGCTCTACTCTATACATTAAATACTATCTCCTATTTCCTTCCCTCTGCAGCTCTAAGCACAGCAGCCGGAGATAAGGCTGCTACACCAGCTCTCTCTCGCATGGCCGTCATTGCTGCTGTTACAGGTGTTTGCACACCGGCCGCTGGCCCTGGAGTATTGGTTCTTGTTGCTGGAGCACTTCTATTATGTGCCATGTGACTCTGCACAAGATGACCAGCCGCCAAAGCACTACACAAGGAAAGTTCACCAGCCAACACAGCTGCAGCAATTACGCGTGCAAGCTTCTGGGCATTCTCACCAGGGTTTGTTAGATGGGCACCTCTAACACCAAGAAGATCTAACATGGCACTCTGAGGTTCAAGAATAGTACCACCACCTAAAGTTCCAACTTCAATAGAAGGCATGGATACTGTGATTTGCAAATTACCGCGAAGACTATAGAATGCTGTTAGCGACATTTCACCATTTCTGAATAGACACAACTTACTTCTTCATGAGTGTGATACAACTACTACTCTCAACTACTTGTGCTGGGTCTTGGCCAGTAGCCAAAAAGATTGCTGCTACGATATTGGCAGCGTGAGCATTGAAACCACCCATAGCACCGGCCATCGCACTTCCGACAAGATTCTTGGCAATGTTCAATTCGACCAATGCATCAACATCAGTCTTGAGAACTTTACGAACGACATCGCCGGGGATGATTGCTTCGGCAACAACACTCTTACCACGTCCATCGATCCAATTGACCGCAGCAGCCTTCTTGTCGGTACAAAAGTTGCCTGACACCGAAATGATGTCCATGTCGTCAAAGCCGCATTCGGTAGCCATAATTTTCAAAGCGTGCTCAACACCCTTTGAAATCATGTTCATTCCCATAGCATCTCCGGTTGTAGTTTTGAAACGAGGGTAGAGGTAAGTACCTGCCAAGGCTGTCTTGATGGATTGAAGTCTTGCAAATCTACTGGTCGAGTTGAATGCATCGCTCATGGTCTGCTGACCAGCTTCGGAATCAAGCCAAACCTTAGCAGCACCGGCACGTTCGAGGGTCTCAAAGGCAATACATGGGCCACGAGTCATGCCATCACCAGTCAAGACGGTCACGGCACCGCCACCGGAGTTAATGGCCTTGCACCCACGACTTGTACTCGCAACAAGAACACCTTCAGTTGTAGCCATAGGTAAGAAGAAACTTTGTCCATCAATAACAATTGGACCTGCCACACCAAGAGGTAATGGAAGGTAACCGATGACGTTCTCACAACAAGCTCCTAAAACGCGATCATAATTGTAGTGCTCGTATGGCAATAATGAATTTTCGAGGAGATGGGTAGTTTCAGAGGTTGCAGGAGTCCGTGAGATGATGGCGCGTCTGATCTTGACAGCACGAGTGGCATCTTTCAGCGTTTTTTCTAGCGAGTAGCCAGGGATTTTGCCTTGCATTGATAGTTCGATAAGTTCTGCATCGTTCAGCTCCGGTGCAAGTTTCGCCTCGAGCATCATTTCAAGCTCTTGTTGACTTCGGCGCAATTGAGATTGAGTAGTATTCTGAGATTTAGCCATAATTAATCCATCGTCCTCGTCATCAGTAGTAGCTGGCGTTCTAGCTGGTGTCAATGGTATATTGTCGCTAGCATTGGGGTCGATATTTGGCAACCTCAGGATAGGTGTAGACGCAGAGTTGTTGAACCTTTCAGCCTGATCGAGCTCCTTAGGGTCGACAGCATGGTGCCGAGGCATTTGAAGTGGTTCCTTGCCAATACTCCATTTAGCGGCATTGAAAAGATACCCGTTGAGCACAACACTCAAGGTGAGAGCGACAACGATCCATTTTGAAAGAACTGGATCCTCAAAACTCTTCAGCAGATTGTCCACAACTCGACCACCCATTCCATATTCAGCGAATTCAGCATCAAAATCGTCAGCGGCATGTTTACGATGCTTGGGGGCTGGCTCTGCATAGTGAATGGAGGGATACTCAAGCTCGTATTTGATGGGCGTAAGTACGGTAACAATTGTTGACTTATCGTGAGCTTTTGCCAACTCAGCAATCGAGTCCAAGCCACTAGATGCAACCTTGAAGGGGTCCATGGGTGGTGGTGTCAAAACACTTGAGAAACTGGATCCTGAAAACATATTCGCACCTGGGAGCTGAACACTGCTATTGCCACCTCGGAACGGGATGGTGCAAAGGTTGAGAATGTTGATTATGATGAATCCAGAAACCATCAAACCTTTAAATTTTGGAATACTGCTACCCTTGACCTTACGACCAAAGATGTTGGCCTCGCTGGCCTGGGTACCATCGGCTCTAGGCCAGTCGTCACTTTGGGCAACATTTTCAGCCACTCGGGGATTGACTCCATCGTCCTCCAATGCCTGGCGGAGAGCAACATGTCGTTTAATTCGGTTAATTTCAAGCTTAACGCTCAAAATCGCGGTGTAGAAAGTGAACAAAAGGATACAGTCAAAGAACAGAATCCAAGCTGCCAAAAAACAGAACTGTTGGAGACCCCCTTGAACGCCCGAAGCAGCTCCCGCAGCCAAGATACAAATTTCAATTGCATAATCTCTGACAATTTCGAAACCCTTTTCGCTTATTGCAACTTGGACTGCATATTGAATGGAAGTAGGAGATACTCCGTACTTCTTCTCTCCCATTTCCGGGTAGGGTCTTTGGGTGTTGAGAGATGCCGATAAAACCGCCTTTGTCAAGACAATAGCTTTCTCGAATCCAATCGTTACAACGAGAAATGGGAGGCCTTCCGACAACAATACCATGTTCATCGGAACACCCATTTTTGTGGTGACGATCAACCCAAAGAGGAAAGCAAAAACCGAGGAGAAGAGTGTGGTGGCAAACAGCCAGAAGTTTGAGCCCATACGCCTCATAGATACAAACAGCGACACAAAAGTGAGGTGCATCGAGATATAACCGAGTACCATAATGATGATGTCGAGAGTCTCGGCATTTTTGAGGAGGTCCAAGAATTCAGTCCAAGCATTTGACGCCCATTTCCTCAATCCTCGTCTAGTCTCATCGCCCTTTGCAGCTTTCATAATCCACATCTTCTTCTCCTTAATAGGCTCTGCCTCGAGTCCTTGACGGGCATTGGGATCAGTAGGCATTGTAGCAGCGGAATTAGGGAGTTCTTGAGACTTGGCGAGAAACTCAGGGGCTTGATTGTAGGGCACAGCAAAGGCTAGAGCACTATCTTGTGATAGAGAAGCCAAAGGGTTTGAAGTTGTTGGAAGGGAAGTAACGGAAAGATTCTGTGGTAAAGGTACAGAGTCCGCTAATGGGGCTGCCTGCAAAGAATTGGCAGCGGCGGAGTCTGGGAAAACGAAGGTCAAAAGTGCCAAATGGTCCACGTTTGATGGCACAATTTCCACATCTGACGTCTGCCATTTCCAGCCAGTCTCCGAACCAATTTGTAGTTGACGATTACCTGCGACAAGAGAGCTCCATGTCGCTTTATCGGCACCACTGGCTTTCACTGAATCGAAAAGGCTACTCTCCAGAAGTCCCATGTATGTTGTACTCGCCAAAACCGCAACTATGACGATGGTGTGGATTGGATGTAGACATGCTCGTCGAGAGAGAAGCTGGATAAGTGGTGTGACCTTTCTATTGAGCCACATAGGTGTAGCGTTGGTTTCGGTGGTAGAGGAAGTTCCCCTGAACCGCGAGGGTAGAAATGAATTTCCAATCATGGTGGCAGAAGTATAAGCAGGTTGGGTTGTATTCTATCTCAAAGCCATCGACGGATATATGCAATTCTATTAAACCTGAATTCAAAATGACAATCAGCAGATGAGTCAAATATCTGTGTCGATTAAATAGTCCCCGGCCAGGTGCGTGCTGGCTGACAATAAACCTCGAGCAATATAGAGATCTGACATAAACGGATGTCGTGTAAGAGAATGTAACCTACAAGTTTCCCTTTGTTATATTTGTCTTTACAACCTCAACTTTTACAGACGTACTCGGAGGAAGTTGATGAAGATGGCGGAAGTCACTATTGAAAAGAGGAAGAAAAGGAGTGGTGTGTTATACTGGTGTTGAGACAAGCAAACAAGATGATGGGATGGGACAAAAAGACAGAAAAGGATCAATGGCTTTTTGAAGCGGGATATTAATTTATATGACCAAGAGAAATAGATCAAAGGAGACAGCGGGTTGAAGATTGTCAAGTAATAATTATCTCATAAGAATCCACAGCAAAAGTTAAGCTACTGTATGTATTATTTGTTGTACTCGAAGCAACCACGAATCCATGTGATATATACGGTAATTGTTGACTTTTTTTTTTTTTGGCTTGACAGATCCCTGAGGATTCAATAATTGGTGACAACTTATCTGCACCTCAATCATAATAGGTTTAGTGTTGTGTTAAGCTTAGATTTAAGATAAAGGAAATTACAAAACATGATCTTTTAAGAAATCTTTTCAACTTTATTATTCACACCAAATTTCAACCTATTTCCTTTTTTCTTCTATTCATGAAGTCTTTCAATTCCTTTCTACAATCCCTTCATACTGTTCTTCAAATAGTCTTCATATTGTTGTTCTTCGTCAAATAATCCAGCCAGATACAATAGAACTTGTGCCAACTGTTGTGTTGTTCTACTGTACTCTGTACTCTCCTCTGCCTGCAGGAACAGATCCTTTTCATTGACCAATTCAACCAGCAGTAAAGTTTTGGCTAATGTCCCGGTCCCGGTGAACCACAGTCGGAAATAGCCTTCCCCCTTCCAAGATTCCCTTCTACGTTTCTTCCTTCTTTTCTTCTATTGGGCTAAATCACATGATATTTTCATGGTGGGGTTGATAAGTTCAATCTTTCAGGAGAACAGATACAAATAGACCACAAGTTGGTTGATACTTTGTCAGATAAGAATAGACTTTCGGGATTTAATCTATTTAATCGATTGTCACTTCACCAACCAAACAATCTATACCTACCCATCACTCAGATCAACTAACATCACCATGTCCACTGATATTGCCACATTCAAGCCAGCCCTAATCATAGTAGATCTCCAAGAAGATTTCTTACCTCCAGTAAGTTATACATCTTATCACTTTAATCATTCATTTATACTAACAGATTTCAGAATGGTTCTTTGGCTGTAACCAATGGTCGGGACACAATTCCCATCATCAATAACCTCCTCAATCTTCCATTTCATCTCAAGATCGCCACCAAAGATTGGCACCCTTCGAATCATACATCTTTCGCTTCAAATCATACAGGTACAAAACCATTCACAGATTTCACCACCATTTTCAATCCATCCAATCCTTTGGAGAAACATGAAACTCGTCTCTGGCCGCCTCACTGCATTCAAGATACACTTGGTTCTGAGTTCCCTTTCGAGCTAAACACAAATCATATCACCAAGATAATTCTCAAGGGTCAAAATCCTGATGTTGAAATGTATTCGGCATTCTACGATCCCTTCAAGAATCCTCGGGGCAGTGATAGTGGATTGACAGGTCATCTGAAAGATGAAGGTGTTACCGACGTCTTTGTAGTGGGTCTAGCATCCGATTATTGTGTCAAGTGCACAGCGGAAGATTCTGCCAAAGAAGGATTCAATACTTTCATTCTAGAAGATGCTGTTCGAGCTGTTGATCCTGCAGCATGGGATAATATGAGATTGGGCTTGGAAGGTGTTCAACTTGTTAAATCCGATGGTGAAGAAATCGATCGAGTAAGAGAATTGAGAAATTGAGGGGAGGTCTAGCACGGATGTCAAATTACAATTCGGTCCTTTTTCTATGACTGTTGTTGTGCCGAAGATGTGCTGAAAGCAAATTCTTGCAAATATCTCAGGTGGTGACACCGAGTACAATGCCCGTACTTCAATAACCTTCTTTCTGGAGGGGAAGGCATTGTATTGCAAACATGAAATTAAAATAACAAAAATATCAACAAAGTTCAATACATCATATCATCTTATCCCATTTCCAATGTGCCAAGTACCTGCAATAACTCATATTAAATACTTCCAAACTCTCATCCTGATCTACACCAGCTGTCTCCATTCAAGTGACAATGTGAACTTGTGATGCCATGTCATATTGTTCAAGACACTGACCATCACCTTCGACTAGAATCAAGATTGACGAATACCATGACGAAAAACCGGTAAAGCAATCATACATACATACATACATACATCCATACATACTCGAGTACATACCTACACTCCTACATTCCTATACAAATATAACATGAGAGATCATACCAAGCACACTGCACAGTCAGTACCTCTAATAGTATGTGATCATTACCAAATACCTACTTTATTCAGTACTTATATTATTCTTGGAGAAGGGAGACCTTACTTATTTAGTTACTTATTAAAATGATTTGAAGATTTGAAGATGAAGATTTGAAGATTTACTACTGTACTCGGCGTGTAGATATTTCTATAATACTCAGTATGATATTAATGAATTGTCTAGAATTTGAAGAGTTTGATGGGAGGGGAGAAAAGAGAAGGGAAGAATATAAAAGAATATAATTAAATATAGATATACAGTAATCGAGAATCGAGTAGTACAAGTACAGTATAGCGAATTGTGAATAGAATCCCAATTCCAATTTCACTCCAATTTCACTCCCAAAACCAGACTGGGCTAACTCAAGGGCCAAGGCCAAGGCATAATTGTTACCCTATTACCTTCCCTATCTGTGTCTTTTTGCTAAATATTTATAGATTTATTACTGTGATGGAAGAATAGGTATTGTGATGGAAGAAGAGTAGGTATGTATGTATATATGTACCTAGGTAGATATACTGAGTACATACCTAGGTATATATGTATATGAATGTACGATTATATCTAGGTACTTGAATATAAAACATCAAGCATACAATACAATACAATACAGCAGCTCCAAATAGTGAATACTGTATGCAGCAAAATAGCAAAATAGCAAAATCATCAAAATCATAAACATCACATCACATTACATCATATCGCATTACACCACACCATCCCAGACCATAAATCTTCCCAAGAAACATACATCACTCACCAACTCTCACCTACCTACCTACCTACCTACCTACCTCCCTCTTCGAATTTCTTCGTCCTTTCCCTCCTCCTCCCATCCCCATCTCGCTTTCCCACTTTCCATCCCGTATTCCCCTCAGAATCCCATTTATATTATATCTCGAGGTTACGATACACATTATACATATTATTCATACCTGACTATCCTCATACACCACGAGTACGTACACTAAAAGCAATACTTATCACTGTGTTTAGGACAGGGACATATATTGCATCCATAGCATATGCAATAAATACATCAAGACATTATGGCAGCGCCAGAGAATAACTCGGATAGTGATAGTGATAGTGATATTTCTTCGGATGAGAGAGAGGGACTTTAATGAGACTTTGTTTGAAAAGTTACGCTCTCTAATTTACTCTGGTAGACATACACTACACTACACTACACTACAGATAGATCGATGGATAGATAGAATTAACAGCAATACACCCTCCCTTCTATTCCCTTCCCTTCCCTTCCCTTCCGCCTTCGCATTTTGATATGGCATACCGGTATATAGTATGCCATATATATACCCATTCCGATATCTAAGAAGTGAACCTTGAATGTTGTATTCTGTAAGTGAGTGAGTGAGTGAGTGAGTGAGTGCACGATGTGAGTGAGACCTATGTCATCCAAGATCCCAAAATCCCAAATTCGAAGTCGAGGATTATGAGTATGAAATATAGATGCTGAATATATATATCTGAGAGAAAAGCTATTCTATTGGAGAGGAAGAAAAACATGGTCAAAATAGGTTGATTAGACGAATCAAAAGAATATCCATAATAATGCATCGAATCTACCTATATCTCGTCTCAAACCATCACATTATATCACATCACATCACATCACACAAGAACAGAACGGAACAGAAATAAGTTTATCAACTAATAATATAATAGCCATCGGAACTATAAACCGTGACGTGAAATACCAAAAGAGTTATAAAATTAAATGGGAAAACCAACGGGTATTTTGGGTGATCAATAGATAGATACACAGACAGATAGACAGACAGACAGACAGACATCCGTAGAGCATGAACACATAACACATTATAGCATATTTCTCCCCTTCCATCGAAAAAATGCATCATTAAACCCCATCATCAGATCATCCTATCCCACCTCCCTTTCCTTTCCTTTCCTTTCCTTTCCTTTCCTTTCCTTTCCTTGCCTTTCCTTTCCCTTCCTTTCCCTTTCACTTCCATTCTTACTCCTACCATTACATTGCAGACAGATAGACAGATTTTGCAGGGCCCTCTTTCCTTTAATATCCTTTTCCTAAATGTTTCATCTTCCAATTCATTTCATATAATAACGTATCATATATGGCAAACACAACCATCCACCTGGTATCACTATTATATGCCAAGATCCCAATCAAAATCCACAGACCATCTCATCTAGTAATTCATAATACTCGTGAGTAATTCCCGTCTGGTTATCGAGCGGTGGTTTCGTGTGTTTCGTTTGCTGTATCACGAAAAGAATCAATAGGACTATCAGGGCCTTGGACTGCGATTGTTGGCGAAAGTTTCGGTTCTGAATCTGGTGGGGGAGGTTCGACAGGTGCCGCATTACTACTCGATGAATCTTCAGAATTCCCATTTTTGGCTTCCTGACTGCTGGGGCTATCTATAAGGTCTTCTTGTGAGCTAGGTATAGTTGGGGTATTTGCTTGACTGCCCCCTCGTTGCCCATGATAATGTATAACTTGAGGCGGAGCTTGGCCTGCCTGTGTGCCTAGAAGATGTTGAGGGTATGGGTGTAGATCCTTGGACGATGTTGAGAAGGTAGATACTACAGGCTGTTGATATCCATTGCTGCCATTACTTGAACTTGGGTTGTGTCCAAATGCTTGATTGTGTTCCGCTTGAGTGGGAGTACCCGAGTCACCTCCCACAGGACTAGCAAGCTCAACTTGTCCCTTTAGACTGTTTAATCCTCCTTGAATATCTCTCAGCAGCCGGACATATTCTTCGGGAACCAGGCCACTTTCCTGTGTCTTGGGATCTTCTGCGACAAGCCAGCCTTGGCCATGTCGATATGACACCCAAATAACCTGTCCTTCCACCAAAGGTAGTTCATTTTCGTTCTCTCGTTCAAAATCAAACAATGCAACGGCTTTGCCATGCATCTCTTCGTCCGGTGAAGCAATTGTGAATTGATAATCGCGCGAATATCTCGATTCATCATGTTTCGTCATGCCAGGCGATGATGCAGTACTCGAAGCATCAGACTCTGATCGATACTCTTGACCACCCTCGTCTGTATAGGAGCGACTAGGTAACAGGCCGGCGAAGTGAGAGTCTCGTTGGCCTGGAATGTTATATGGCGCCAACATTGAGCGCCTTGCCAACTCTGAAGGATATGTGACGTATTCTCCTCCAGGCCCATCTGCCTCTTCTCCTTCGTTGACGTAAAACCTGTCGCCATCATCAACCCTGGTATCAGCAAAGTATCCTGGGTCATCCTCAAAGTTCTCTTGGCTGAGCATGCTTGTTCTGCGCTCTCCATCCCTAGGCATTCTTCCTCTCCCGCGCGAATGTCCTCCGTATTCTCCTGCTGATGATTTGTGTTTCCTATGGCGTGAACTGACTACAACTGGACTTTGCAGATCCTCATCTTCACTCCATGGAGGTCCGTCGCCAAAGTGTATAGGCGCCAATTGTTCCCCCTTCATGAGTCCATCACCGCCCCATGGACCTGGCCCCCAAGATCCGCGACTATCCCAAGAGGTTGGGGGATCTGACAGCCGTTTATGCGATTCGCTAGCTGGCGTCGAGAGACCCGATGGAGGTTGAGACGGTTCTAGAGGCGGTCCATAATGCATAGGATGCAATGAAGGGTATGCGAAATCGCGGACCGTCGTATAAGGAAGGCTAGAATGAAAGACTGGGAAGATGTATGAAGGGGGTCGCGATCGTGATGGCGCAGAATAATTCGAGTATTGTGATAACCTATTCTTTGAGGCATGAGATATAGGACGTTGCAAATTTGCTCGCTTTGTTGTTGGTGAAGTATTTAAAGGTGGCAGAGAGGGGTGGTTGGGATTCGATGAGGGAGAGCTATCTGGTGTTGGGGACGTTGCTGGCGATGATGTTGGTGAAATTACAGCTGCCATGTTGAAATATGATTGCGATTAGCCTGATGGCTGCGCGTTGAGAACAAAGTTGGATGTTTCGATTCAGACGAAGGTGCCCAATATGAACAACTACTTGCCCAGCAAGATTTCCGTTATACGCCGGAGTAAGAAGACTGGCAGACAGACAGCCACTCGTCGATGTTCGAAATTTGTGATTGGGAAGAAGGTCCTAAAGGTCCCAGCGCCCAAGGAAACCCGAGGTTGTTTTCAATTATCTCGAGTAAGAAACGGGAAAATGTATCGTCGACAATGTACATTAAGAATGCCTGATAGTCGTTGAAACGAGTTGGTGTTGGCGCGGCAGGCGCGCAGTTTTGAAAGGATGAACGTCGAGGGAATAATAAATGTCAAGCTCTTGTTACCGCTTGTCAATGATTGAGGTGGATTATGTGGACGACTAGGTCGGTTGAAGTTCAATTCAATATTTTCAAAAGATCAGATCTTTTTGCGGTTGTCAAGGAAGCTCGTGCGTATTGTAAGGGTAGAAAGGATGGGCGACCTTTTCCTAAAGGTACCCAGTTACAAACAACAGGACTTCAACGGAAACACTGTAGCAACGAGAAATGAAATAGTCTCTGGTTGTAGAAGAAGGCTATCTACTTGAAGATTCAAATCAACAGAGTAGTCTTTGTGCCGCGGTGATTTCTTTGGGTTAACGGTTCCCTTTGAGCGGTGCGAGTTGTCTACGAAGCGCCGAGGGTTCAAGGCTCGAGGTCCTTTTCAAAATTCTCTTGGGTGGATTTTGACAAGGGACCCCGCACACTGCGAATATGGTATTGACATGGAAATTATTAGGCAATGGAAGTGAAAGGTATGGATGGATGAATGGATGGATGGATAGTTCGTAAGACTATAAAGGTATGCAGATTGAAGAAATTATATATGCTACCCCTAGAGTATAGAGGCAAGTAGATGGAAAGATTGAGAAAAGAAGTTTGAATCTTGAAGTAGAGAAAGGTTGTATGTAGTTTTTCAAAGTCATACAAAGTCGTTACTACCTCCAGCTCCAGCTCCAACTCCAAGTTCCAGATCTAGCTCAGTAAATACGGAGATTCGGTGAAGAATGGGAAAATATTGCCTAGCTAGTACTGTATGGAGAGAAGTAAAGGTGCGGTCATTCTTAGATTTCGCTTCCGTGATGGTGATGGGTGGCTTACGGGAATACATGCACATGCACATGCACTCACTCTTCGGTTTGAAGTGTCCAGTTGTCCAGTCTTGTTGATGCGATTGATTGAATTGAGTGAATGGGCTTTTTGGTCCGTTCCTCTGGAAGTTTGGATCTATTTCGGTAACACGCCAATTAGCACTTTTAGCACTTTTCCCGGTATAGTTCCCGCCAAGGAGTAACGATCGATATCCAAGTCCGTTTCAGACTTTGAAGAGAACCAATGAAAACTGCGAATGGAAATCAAATTGATCTAAATATGCACCTACAACATGACTGCAAGTGATTAATCAGCATGTTCTTCCATGTGTTTTTGCCGGCGGGTGGTGGTGGTTGCCTTTTTTGTACCACTTGTGCTACTGTAAGAGCTAAGTACGGTAAGCTATTCAATATTATTGGTTAATCCTACTTAGCCTACTTTTTTTTTACTTTTAACCGAAAATTTCATACATATAACTTCAAAAGCTTCTTCAGTCTTCAAGGTTTTACAACAGGACAAATCTACAACATCATCACTATCACCATCACCATCACCATCATTCGTGATATGACTTGACTTGACTTGATTTGACTTGATTCAATTAATGTCCTTCTGGTTTCGCCAGACTTGAAACCCAACAAGATTTAATACAGGGTATGAAGTGTTTGGTATGTACAATTTCTTGAAGGAACTCATATTCTTGCCTTTTCCCCCTACTTTCATTCCCATCCCTCTGTAGCAACCTGATGATCACTTATTGGAGCTGTCTTATTAAAAAAATGATGACACAACTTTTATATATACAACTTAACAATTCTGATTGCTCGCCATTACATATCATATCATGTACGCATATATTGTATAGAAACGTAACTGACTCGAACATAGCCTCTACAGAAACATCAACAACTTGTATTCGATCCGCTTTGAAACCGGTGTCTGTCAGGATTAGAGGTGGTGGAACTTTTTCATCCCCGTGTGCATCTTAATTATCATAACTTTACAATTTTTACAATTTTTCATCAATAATGTCTCAAGCGCCATTATCGACTGCCAATGGCGGTACTACACCTCAGTTGACATCAAATGGTGAACGCGTAGATCCAGGTGGATTCAAGCTTAAATTCTGTACCGTCTGTGCCAGTAACAACAACAGGTATGCTCAATAAATCCCATTTCTCGTTTGACTTGTCGCTAACATGATATCTTTCAGATCCATGGAATCACACTTACGTCTCGCAGCTGCCCACTATCCTGTGATTTCTTTTGGAACAGGTTCTTTAGTTAGGTTACCAGGAGCCTCCATTACACAACCTAATGTCTACCAATTCAACAAGACTTCATATGATAGCATGTATAAAGAACTCGAATCTAAAGATGCGCGTCTCTATCGCGCTAATGGTATATTGAACATGCTTGGACGGAATAGATCAGTAAAATGGGGGCCAGAGAGATGGCAAGATTGGCAAGTCGGTGTTCCGAGATTACAACATAATACAGATCAAGGTGCCGAAGGAGTAGAAGGAGGCGTGGTGGACATTGTTATTACATGTGAAGAAAGGTGCTGGGATGCTGTCGTGGATGACCTTCTTAACCGTGGTTCCCCGTTAAATCGTCCCGTGCATGTCATCAATGTTGATATCAAAGATAACCATGAAGAGGCTCTAGTTGGTGGTCGGGGAATTCTTGACCTTGCAGATTCTCTCAATAAAGCTGCAGCGGAGGAAAGGGAACTCAACCCTACCGGATTCGACAGTGGAAGTGCCGGTAGTAGGGCTGGTTTTGACGAAAGGGTGCCGGAGATCATCGGGGAATGGCAGGAAAGATGGCCAAATCTACCAGCAGTATGGACATTAGCTTGGTTCTGATTACTTGCATTACGAATTTCTTATAATGGCGTTGAAGTTACGAGGTATACCCATCTTATATGGCGTTTGGGGCGGAATTTGAGCTAAATTTGACATGAGTTAATATCTTGCCAGAAACAATGGCATATGCAATCGATTTATGCACATTGTCAATCCGTAACATGAACTACTCGAGTATATACAAATATACCAATAACCGACAACCCCATCTCAAGAATGAAGTGCGCGGCTGAATTAATGTCAGGTTCATCAAAACCGTTCAATATTGAATAGGATAAGGCTATGCTTGAACTATTCTCAAAGACTCAAAAGGGAAAAAAGGACAGGCCTAGGAAATTGGTATCCTAGGATTAGATGTGATCAAAAGGATAAAACACACGACATTCTCAAAGTTCTAGTCTAGAACATCTAGACTCTAGAGTGTAGAAGAGGAAGTACAAAGCTAGAAGCAAGAAAAGTCCCGGACTTCCATAAGATTTGATCTCGGAATAATGTCTTGAGTTATGTTTACCTAGGTAGTTATATTTGTATGGAGATCCTGCTTGGGAATGTTTCGAGACGGACGGGTCTTTTTTATTTTCTTTATGGGGGAGAGAGAGTATGATAATTTTGGAGGTGGAAGTTCAAAAGGAATTCTGGATCAAAGCCGGTAGCAATTAATATATATTCAGTTATTCCAATTTGGAACATTTGTACTGTAGTAGCGAGTTGGTGATTCCGGATAAGGTAATCTGTGGATTGATCAAGTAGAAGATGCGTTTAATTCATAATAATACTCGAGTAATGTGATTGATTCTATCTCTAGCTTATACCTAGAATTCGTAAAGTGCTATCTTTTAGGTGACATTTATATCGTCTGAATAGTAGAGGTGAGGTGAGCTGAAGTGCAAGCTGGAACTTGGAGATATTCCTGTCGATTAGAACACCTGTTTCATTCTGTCTTGTATCACTGTTATTCGTGGCATACAGAAGAATCCTTGTACTCTAGAAGCTGGGATAGAAAATAGATCTTTGGAGCAGTAGTTCAACCGTTAGCAGCGATATTCAATACCATTATGTTCTTTGGGTACCACAATCCTGAGTTCTGAAGTGTTGACAGAATCGCATCAATATCAAAAATCGACCACCTGGACTCATCAAATTTAACTTTCCAGACCATTTTTAGTCAAGTTAGTCAAGTTGTCCGCCTTCTTTTCCATCAATACATCAATACCCGCCCATCGCCCACCAATCCGATCCCCTGGAAGGCTGGAAAGGCTAATAATTCAGAAGCTGGCGAACCTGTAAATCAATCAAACCAACCATATCCGAGTCCGAAGTAGGTTAATACCGCTAGCCCAAACGCGAAGTAACCCAAGATTATTATTATTCAGGAGACAAAAGTGATTGAGACTTTTGGTATTTTGATTGATTGACTTACTGGCTGAACAACTGGAGAAATACTTATTCCCCAGGAAATCTACTTACTATATTGCTTGTCACCTGCAGCAAGACAATCAGCCATCTCTGCAGCTGCAACAAGTTTGGAACCATTCCATACCTTTTACCTTAACCTACCTTACCTTACCTTACCTAACCTCATCTTATCTCACACAAACAAACAAAATTCTCTGTTCTTTCTTCAACTAACACTATGAATTTGGATTCCTAAATAAAGTTCAAACATCATAAGTAGCAGTTTATTTGTTCCTTTTCTTCATATACCTCCTTTTAAGGTATTACATTGTCGCTGTACAACAATTCAGTTACACGGTCATTACCACTACACGACTTCATTCCTCAAAATAGGTCTCATCCCGATTGTCCCGATTTTCCATCCTTCAGCTACGCTATCTCTATCTCGCTTTGACCGAACAGCCTTGTCAATCAACTTCGTTTCAGGGAGACTTTTGAACTGTTCCAGCTTGAGATATTTGCATCTGCATGTGTTGATCACTTAGACAGACTTACCATTCTCTCACACCTTCTCCGTTAGCTATTGAGCTTTCGAGGTGCGTCGCAATCTTTTCAATAATCGAAGGATTGTGCGGAACTATTCTCCGATTCCAAAGGGTTGCTCATTCCAAATCATAACCGCGACTTTACGATGAACGATCGCAATGGGCCTTTGTCACCAGTTTCAATAGGAAGCAACAACGAATGGTCTGAAAAATATCAAGACGATAACGACTCGCCCTACCAGACGAATCGCGGACAGCTTGCTTCACCGCCAATATCGAGCGGCTCAAACGGTACAATGAATGAGAAGGATTTCCCACCCAGAGGTTCTTCAGGTGGCAGTCCCGGCAATCCATCTCCTCCAAGCTCCATCGGTCGTTCCAGTATTGGCACAGGTTTATATGCAGGGAGCGAAAGTGGACAGGATAAGAAAGATGAACAATTCGAGGCCGTGCTATCAGAACACTACGTTTCGTTGAAACGATACCTGGCAGCGTCACTAAGAGATGAGAAAGGGAACCCTAGGCCCAATAGAGCGCGAGATAAGCTGTTACGACTATCTCCCGTTCAGTTCCAAGAACTTAGTACTGATGTCTTTGACGAACTCCTACGAAGGCAGCAAGCCGGGCGAAGACCGCCAAACGGGCAAAGAAACGACCAAGGGCCCCCGCCGTACTTGTTACCGAAAAACACATTCCATCCGAAACGAAATCAAGCCCGCCAGAAACTGTCTACATTACCACCGCCCAGGTTCAGAGATCTAGCTACAGATGTGTTTTACGAATTGGAACGAAGATTTCCCCAGTTTACTACAGGTGATAGAAGTCGTATAGGCAGTCCCGTATCTACAAGAGGACCCCCAAGTAGGAATGGAAATGGCACACCCGTAGATATGCCACCGAGAGGCCCAAGCCGTATACGCCGACCCTCGGACGCCAGCTCTGTAGGGCCATACTCAATGAGAAGTGATCGGAGAAGTGAGGGGAGAAGTGAATCACGCAATGGACAAAGGATGGCGCCGCCCAATGGCGCAAATGGCCCCAATGGTAGTCTGGTTATACCGCCTTCACCTGGAATGCCTCCTAATGATTACGGCAGACCGACACCCAAAACTTTTCAAAGCAACACGATTGTACCTAATAAAAGTACTATGGTTGAAGATGACGAGAGTGGTCCCGAAGATAATGACGATGATGATGGGGATGCCTTTGGATTAGAAGGAGCTGCGAGGGATCGAGAAAGCAAAAAGAACACGAGAAATTCCGACGTAAGTTGCCTACATATGATTTTCCAACTATAGGCTAACATCACAGGCCGATCAAAAACTCATCGACGATTACCAATCTCAAGTCGCAGAGCTTCGAGAACGGCTCGATTCTATGGAGGACGACTTGAAACGAAAGGACAACGAACTCAATATTGTTATGGACCAGCAAAGGGGAAGGGATGCATCGGCAGATGTGGACAAAAAGGAATGGGAAGACCTTAGAGTGGATCTCGAAAACAAGCTTGCGGATGCGCAAAATCTCAATGATACTTTACAATCAGAGCTCGACCGTGTACGAGAATCGCAAGGTAATTCGGATCGAGAGCTGAGGTCTCAGATCCAGGAGCTTCAAGTTGCAGTAGAATTTGGCAAAGGTATGGGGCCCGGCGATACAGAGCTGGAACGGGAAAACGAAGAGCTCAAAGCCGAGCTCAGAGAGCAGCAAGAGATCACCGAGGATGTTCGAAATGAAGCCCAGGAATTCCTTCGTGAAATGAGGATGTTGTCTGAACGAAGTAATGTATCTTATGACCGCGAGGAGCAACTCGAAATTATGGTTAGCAAGTTAGAAGGTGAAGTCAACGATTGGAGAAACCGATATGCGAAAACGAAGACACAGCTGCGCAGCTTAAGAACATCTTCGATTGGCCTATCGATACAAGACGCAGCCAAGTATGCAAATGATAGTGGATTTACGGCAGAGAACGGTCTTGTCAAGGATGTTCATATCACTAAGTTCCAACTTTCGATTGACGAACTTTTGCAAACGGCACGCTCCAGCGACCCTGAAAGGGTTATCGAATCCATGAAGCATGTAGTTGTCAATGTCCGACTAATTTCTCAGGATATTGATGAAGCACCGCAAACCAATGAAGAATCAGCCCAAAAGCAGGCGAAGCTCAAGTCTAGGCTCTCTGCAACAGCAAATAATCTGATCACCGCTTCCAAGAATTTCGCTGGAGCGAAAGGGCTTTCACCTGTTTCTTTGCTCGACGCAGCCGCATCTCATCTTACCACAGCAGTAGTCGAACTTGTTCGGACGGTGAAGATCAAACCCACGCCCGCAGGAGAGTTGCAAGATAACGATGGTGGTGATATAGCTCCAGTCGAAACAATACCTGAGCCATTGACAACCCAGCCCTCTGCAGTAGGAGGAATCTTCGGGTCCAAGCCTGCAACGACTGAACTTAAGCCTGCAACAACTAAACCTTCTGCTGGAGGCATCTTTGGTTTCTTTTCGTCACGTGAGGCAAAGCAAGAGAACGTTCCACCACAACAAGAGGTCGTTCAACCGCAACGAGATGATACTAAGCAGAGCATCGACTTGCCGCGACAAAGTCTAAATGGTTATGAGAGACAGAGCGAGGATTCGCAGAGGCAGAGCTTGGATGACTACGTTCCTGGCCCATTCCTTGGTCTACGGACTGATCGTGCCAGCACCGATTCATCCATGTATAGTCCAATCAACTCTCCTCGCGAATCTGTTATTCGTCCGAAGAGTTTCGGCAAAAACTCCCTGAGTGCAGCTCCACCTAGTCTTAGAAGTAACCCTTTGAGTCTAAAGACCAATGGCGATAATACTGTCGATGGAAGTGCTAAACCACTTCCACTAACATTACAAGCGCCCCGAGGCCCTGCGAGCGGTCCTCCAAGTCCTGCTCCGGCTCCAATGAGTGTAGGTTTCGGTCTCCGATCGCAAGATAGTGATATCGAAGATCTCAAGGTATGAAACCAAATGTTCTCTTGAAGATGACACTTGGCTAACTAGTCTCGCAGATATATCTTGAAGATCAAACTGCACTCTTGGTTCAGAATATACAATCTCTAGTCTCATCTATTCGTTCAGAGGGTGGTATCAATGCTATCTCTACCCAAATCGACGCAATTGCCAGCGTTGTCGGTGAAGTTGTCGCCTCCACTGAGGAAGCCATGATAAATAACCCAGCTCTCCGTTCACAAAGTCAACCAGTCTTGACGAAACTCTCTGGGTGCAGAGAACGGATCATGGCTGCAGGCGAAGAAGGTAGAGAAATCGCAGAGGAAGGGGAAGAAGATGACGAAAGTGATGCAGATTGGAGAGCTTGGAACCAAAGCTTACCGCCTATCGCATTTGAAATTGCCCGAGAAACCAAAGAGTTGGTTCTCAGAGTCGATGTTCTTGATGGAGAAGGTGGCGGAAATGATGACTTCTCATGATAGTTCACATCAGACGGTTTCGTGGTTTCCGGAGGACATCTTTTTCCATGCAAGGAATACCCAATATCGTCGTTTATCTGGTTTTTTGCACTTTGCTTTATTTTTGCATAGCCAAGGACGGTCCTTTCTATTCACGCTCTATTCCCAATTTCCGTTGTTTTACCTAGGACTTTTACCCCATTTTGCATTCAACATTTTCGTGTTTCCTCTTTTTTTCTACGACAGAACACCATCGAACGAGCGCACAATTGACGATTTGAATTAATTGATTGAATGGGAAGACATGTTTCTTTTCACCTGATGGCGCACCACTTTACCGCATGCATTATTGATGGATACCTTTTTATACTGTGTTTTGGGTTTTCTTTTTTCTTTTTCTTTTTGCTGGCCTAATAGCTAGCTAGACTTTTTACTTTTGACTCGGATGGTGGAATTGCATATAACACAGTATATATCTTAGATACTGGATCATTAATGAGGATATAATTTCTAGTTTTATTTTGAGGGTGGGACGAGAATGAGATGAGAATGGTTACAAGGAGGTGGGGATCAACACAATTCAATGTCAGTGTCTAAGAATGGAAGCGGATTGAAGAGGGATCATTCATATTGTGTATATATATGTCGGATAAGGAAATGGAAATGGGAATGGGAATGGGGGAGATGGGATGGGAGAGGAGAGGAGAAGAAAGAAAGGTTCTGATAAACTACTTACTCATTTTGGAGAAGGGCCAGTTGGTCAACTGAAAATGAACATAGAGATTGGATGAGATAGGGATTGGCACAGATCAAGGGAAATAGATAATGAGAATAAGAATCAAAATGAAAATGAATGTTCATACTTGTATGTGATGTGATGTGTTTACTATTAGTTTATTGACAATATACCTATATCAACCTTGTAGATTCTTCATACAGAATCAGATTTGTAGATTCTGGATAATGGCGATGCTGGATTTGAATGGGGATATTATACTTTAGATATTGGATAGTAGACATTAGACATTAGACATGTTTTGTAAATGAGAATACCTACTTGGTACAGTGCACCAGACAGGTTTGTATGGAAAAGATGGAAAGAAGGTCGGACAGAGGGGGATCACCATTATTGAGAGGCATGGAGCCTTGTTCCACTGAGCAATAACAAGGAGGCTACCAACTATACTATCGAACATCATTTTAGTATATTCTAATCTTGTTAATTCTTGGTGGAACAAGCCTAAGGTTCCATATCTCAATAATAGCTTAATGAATCCAATTCCATATATGCCCTAAAATGGGATTAGCAGCGATTTGCACAGTTTCTACAAGTACAGTAGTTTAGATAAGAACTCTTTAGTAGTTCTCTGTCTAGTTCTCTAAAATAATACTAGATAGTAAAGATTCATATTTGATATACTCTAGTATAACTATCATAACTCAATCCTGAAAGTATATATATCATAGGATTAGCAGGGATTTGCATACTTTTTAGTGATATAAATTCTCTCTAGCAAGTTCCCAAATGGATTTCTCATGTGATTTGATGGTCTGAAGCTCGGACCATGTAAAGGTGGGCATCGAAAGCTCTGGAAACAAGTGGAGGGAAAATAAAGAGTTGCTTGTCCAACATCCAACTCAACTTTCGAGATTTTGATTATTTGACTTTCAACATTACTCTCGGCCTCAAATTATCATATTCTTTGACTTTATACTTTCACACAAATTCTTTCACATATCATGGCGGACACATTGAAAGCTGCTGGCAATAAAGCCATTGCGGAGAAGAACTTCGACGAGGCTATGTAAGTTTTCCGTTTGCATTTCTAAGCTTTACAATTTTGAGAAGTTGTTAGTGTGGTTGGTGTGTTTGCACTGGATTTCTGTTGGGTAAGTCTGGATGAAAAGAAAAGTGTACTGATTACATTACAGCACAAAGTTCACCGAGGCCATTGCTATCGAGCCAGAAAACCACATCCTCTACTCCAATCGATCGGCTGCATATGCTTCGAAACGAGACTTCGAAAACTCCCTAAAGGATGCTGAGAAGTGTACGGGTATCAAGCCTGATTGGGCCAAGGGATGGGGTAGAGTTGGTACCGCTAAGCAAAGTCTGGGGGACCTTTTGGGAGCGCATGATGCTTATGAGGAGGCTTTAAAGCTTGATGAGAAGTATGCGGTGGCTACCAAGGGTCTTGCACAGGTCAAGAAATCTATCGATGCAGAGGCCAAAGCAGGTGAGTTTCGAGAGAATCTAGGAGCGTACGGAGTATATCCTAACGGTATTGGCAGATGGTGTGAAGGGTGATCCAACAGAAGGACTAGGAAGCATGTTTAGTGATCCGCAACTCGTCACAAAATTAGCCGCAAACCCTAAGACTGCCAAATTCCTCTCCGACCCAACATTCATGGCAAAGCTTCAACAAATTAAGTCGAATCCAAGTAATACTCAGGAACTTTTCTCAGATCCACGTATGATTCAAGTCTTGGGTGTCTTGATGGGAGTGGATATGTCCTTCGCTGATTCGGGTGCTTTTGGAGGTGCTCCTGGTGCCGGAGGTGCTTCTGCGCCCAGGGAGGCCGAGGAGGATATCTCGATGCCAGACGTGCGCCCAAGCTCGCAAGAACCACAAGCTAAGAAGGCAAAGACGGAGTCAGAACCAGAGTCAGGCGATGACGAGGCTGCCTTGAAGAAGAAGGCAAAGGCTGAGGCTGATGAGGAGAAGAGACTTGGTACCGAAGAGTACAAGAAGAAAAACTTCGACGAGGCGATTGCACATTACACTAAGGCTTGGGAAATCTTCAAGGACATCACCTATCTCAACAACCTTGGTGCTGCATACTTCGAAAAGGGAGAATACGAAGAGGCTATCAAAGCATGTGAGAAAGCAGTTGAAAAAGGACGAGAGATCTACGCCGACTTCAAGATGATCGCCAAATCATACGCTCGTATCGGAACGTCCTACGAGAAGCTGGGAGATCTATCGAAAGCCATCGAAAATTACAACAAATCTCTCACTGAACACCGTACCCCTGACCTCGTCAACAAGCTTCGTGCTGCCGAAAAGAACAAGATCGATGGTGCCAAAAAAGCCTATATCGACCCAGCAAAAGCTGAAGAGGCCCGTGAACTCGGAAACCAAAAGTTCAAGGAGTCAGATTGGCCTGGAGCAGTTGAGGCTTACAGTGAAATGATTAAGCGTGCTCCAGAAGACCCAAGAGGTTACAGTAACCGTGCAGCTTCCTTCATTAAGCTTCTTGAGTTTCCATCTGCTTTGGAAGACTGTAACCAGGCAATCGCTAAGGATTCCAAGTTTGTTAGAGCCTACATCCGAAAGGCGCAAGCATACTTCGGCATGAGAGACTACTCCAAATCTCTTGATGTTTGTAACGAAGCTAGTGAGGCTGATGTTACAAAGGCCAATACTAGAGAAATTGAACAGCAACAGCAGAAGGCTGTCACTGCAATGTACAGTGCTAGAGAGAACGAGACAGAGGAGCAGACTAAGGAGAGACTTTCGAAAGATCCCGAGGTAGGTTAATATCTCAGTATTATGTAAAACATCTACTAACAGTTATTACAGATTCAAAGAATCATGGGTGACCCAGTCATGCAAAGCATTCTTCAACAAGCCCAAAACGACCCCGCCGCTCTTCAGGAACACATGAAGAACCCTCAAATCAAATCTAAGATTCAACAGCTCATCGCTGCCGGCGTCATCCGTGTCGGGAGATGATTGAAGATGTGATGTAATGGAAGGTTGCTTTAAAACCCCATAAGTCTACTAATCAATCGTCAAATCGACTTGTCTGGATGATTAAACTTTTTCTCGATTCCTTGGGGCACGGACGGGAAATGATGATATAAAATGATATAATCAATGAGATGAAATGAAATACGGAAGGAGAATACCATGAGGAAATACATGCAAAATGGGATGGATGTATCTAAAGGGAGTCTTTGGCGCCAGTCATTGCCATTTTATGAAATGCATTGCACTGCCGACAAGGTACTTAGGTAGTCAATCACTTAATATTCACGATTTACTCGAATTATTTTCTGATTATTTTTGTATTTTGAATATACATCTTTTATCGCGATGGGTTGGTTGTGTAAAATGATGTATATGGATTAACAGAGTGGAGACAGGGACAGTCTTGATTAGCCCCTATGGCATAGAAGCCCACTCGCTACCTACTATTCAAAACAGGAAAGAAAAGCAAGTAATTTTTTCGAATAAAGTGGCATTCTTTATGAGAATTTTCATCTTTTGATATCAGCTATTGTATGTAATGGATCATTTGCACTGCTATGTTTGCCTGCCATTTATTTGCAACCTCATTCTCCATGCTATCCATCGGCGCTGCCTCCCACCCATTCAATCATATACATCCCATGCGGCTAAATAGGACGAAATCATATCCTTCCATTTGTCCCTCGGGTTCATCACCCCCATCCGTACCTGGATCGACCGCTCTTTCCTTCCTATAAACCATTTCCGACCACCTTTCCCATCAATAATTCCCACCCATCCTTCCATCCATCCACCCCATTCCATTCATTTAGCTCCCCGAACCTAGTACAGCCATGCCAGTCCCGAAATCAGAGGCCGATCAAAAATATATCGAAAAAGAAATAATAGAAAAATATTCGCTAAATGAGCACAAGACCAAAAGAGTTTGTGACGGTCCTAAGAAATCTGGAGACTAGCTCAAAGGCTGAATCGTCGAGCAAGCCGCCTTCTGGGTATATGTACAATGTATGTGTGATTTGATGTGTGGAGAGAAGAGGGGTATGGTGAGATCGTTTCCTTGGATTGATACCGAAGAAACCTTTCGATCGGTGGATTGAGTGGGGAAAATCAGTAGAGTGGAATGTGGTATGCAGCTGTTCCTTTTAGTATTGTGGCCAGAAATCAAATGCAGTCTAGTGGGTGATCAATCGTGATCAAGCCAGCCAAGTACAATTTCACTGTAACAATGCCAATGATGTCGCTGGGCCATGCCCAATATTCCTCATGTACTCAATCAATAAGTCAAACGGTGCCCAGATTATCCCTAAGCGAAACGATGACCTGCTTCCAGCTGAGAAGGTGATGGCTCGGCATTTGTTGGTTGACTTGAAGCATTTCCTGCGGCTCTATTACTACCAGGCATGCGAATTCCGGTGAAAGCCGCCGGCATTCTCGGCCTCCATCTACTTGTAGCTGGAGCAATATTGACTTCAGGCACTCCTCCATCAGCTGCTACACTCGTCGGTCCGTCTTGTGCTTGGCGTGTCCGTCTGGCATTTCTATCGTCACGAGTTGAGGTATCCGCATTAGATCTAGCGGATGCTCTGAATCTTCCTGGCATACTTCGAATACCAATCCATGCTGATTGTGGCGGTTGGGGCATATTTACTCTCGAGGCGTGCGCTCTACGTGGGTGTCGCTCAGGCTCTGGCTCGCCTTCAGGTCGGGGTTTTGGTGTAAAATAGTCGGCCTTGCAAAGCGGGCAGCAGGCACGACGACTAGTCAGCCATGGATCCAAGCAACCAGCATGGAAAGCATGGCCACAAGTCAAACCACGAACGTCATCGTCCTCTTCTAGAGTGTCAATGCAAATCGCACATGAATCTCCGGGATTGTTGAGGAGCTCTGGTAGTACAGCGGTATGAATGTGATCATCCTCGTCGTCGTCTTCGACCTCTTCGACTACTACAATATTCTTGTTGTCGACGGTACTGGCTCTCGTTTGCACCTCTTCCAAATGATGAAGTTCTTCCTTGGGCTCCTCCATCGTCACAGCTTGCTGTTCCACAATCGTTGCATCCATACTCTTTCTGTCACCAAATCCACCTCTCAAAGTATGTGTTGGTGATGATGCTGTTACTTCATCTCTGTTCGAAGTGGTCGAGGCTGGTCTGGTGTTGATAGAGTGCTTGGTTCCAATAGGTGAAGATGGTTCCACACCCTCAACTTCTACCACGCTTGCAGCTCGACTTGGCGGTGATGTAACACCTCCACTGGTTGGCAGTCCTTCGCTGGCTCGGTTTGCTACCCAGTTCTTATATTTTGTCAAAGGAAATCGTTCATTCACTTCGTCCATAGTCATGAGCTTCTTTTCCCGTCGTCTCCGGTGAGGTCGAACTGGCATGTTCTCAAGATTAATTGGGTCAACCTCGCCGCCAGCTCGCATTGCCCGATTCCTAGCATTGTAACGGAAACAATATTTGACACCAACAATAATCCTTTGTGGAGGTTAGTAATAGGCAGACCAGTCAAAACCCTCAAGATGCTCACCATAGATTCGTAAATACAACACCAAATCCTAGCGCAACAAAGAATAAAAGTGGCGAGCTGGTCGGGCTACTATTGTTGGATGTTGATCCTGGAGATGGGGTGGGGGTTGCTGTGCTGGATGACATCGAGGTCGAAGTAGCTGCTGTTGACGCAGGTTCAATGGTGTTCTGTCTTCCAATGATCTTCAAGGTCTCTACCATTCCGTTGACCAGCGCCATCTTGACTTGGAGTTGTGTCTTGATATAATCGTGCGGCGCAAGTAGATATTTTGACTTTCCCCAAGATTGGGTTCGCCTAGGTGGATCAAAGTAAAATGGGAAAGTTGATCGCCACTACCGGTATTGTCGTGAATAATTAACGAAATCCGTTTTTCCAGATCATTTGTACTAGTGATTAATGTTCAAGCAATATGAACAAAATCTTAAAAAAAAAAATTCAAATAAACGATATAAATGTGAGGAGATATCAGAGCTGAAGTGGAAGTGGAAGTGGAAGTGGAAGTTGAAAGGAAGTGAATCAATCGACGGGGTGCGTCAATGTGCATTAATGGGGGATGGATGATTTCGAGAGACTTGTCTTAGCGGGATAAATTACAAGGCGAAGGCTGGGCTGGGTGAGCTAGAGAGAAAGACAGGGTCAGCAAGTTCAAAATGGATCCGATGATTATCTATCTTTATAAAGTACCTTTTTAGGTTGTTGGGAGTCAAAGCAACAGGAGTGAAGATTGATGAATCAATTGGATGAATTGGATCAGTGATTAAGTCTTGAAAGGGTGGTGTGAAGTCCGACTTTTGGTATCGAGGGTTGAATTGATTGATGAGATGAAGATGATATTGAATGATGATTTGTTTTCGGGATATATTATTGGTGGTGAAGAGTAAGAATACAAAGAAATGAGAGAAGAGAGAAGAAAAAAGAGATCATATTAAATTAGATCTGCCCACTGATAATATAAATATAGCGAGAGAGAGAGAGAGAGAGAGAGAGAGAGATAGAGATAGAGATAGGTATGAAAACAACAAAGAAAAAGGAAGGATAAAGAAAATAACTTGAGCCGCCCTTGAGGTTTCAACTTACCCTTACTAGTACTACCACGATAAATCAATGCGAATGCGGTTACATACTTGTCCCGATGATACTGGTAACAAGTATATTTCCGACAATAATAAAATACAAATTGACATTTTGGTAGTAAACGGTTACGATATGATTGGAGAACCATTGATTCAAGTTGTTACTTATTAATAAAGCCACATGAAGTCTAGGTGCTCTGTAGATATTAGATACACAAACGGAATGGACATAACTACCCATTACCATTATCCCAAATTGGTTGGTTTAATCTCGAACGCTTATTGAGAAACAACATGTTCTCAGCTCCCAGATATTCGAAAACATCCAATATGAGACAATTGTGCCTCCATCTGTTGTGAATGAATGCATGCGACTTCCTTCTCACCAGAGTTGAAATATCATTGGAGTATGTTGTATGATGTTATGGATGCTGCAACCCCTCCTTGATTCATTATCCCTCCCTCATCATGCAGAAATAGTACTCGTATTGATTGATATCTCTTTCCCCGGATAGAGAAACTGAATTTCTTCCAAATTGTATCAATTGATGAGGTTAATCAAGTTCATATGTAGGGTACATACTTCAAATCCCCAATGGCCATTGACTAAGCGCGGTGCTCGTTTTCATATACCGGTAATATCGTATGTGTTCGCTACTTTCATGATTATAGATTATACGTTCGTACATGTATATACATGTCAGCAATCCTAGCTAATGAAGGTTAGGTTGGTGGCAAAGAAAGCACGAAATTTAATATAGTCTTGAATAAGGAATATAGAAATTTGGCAGATAGTTAGAATGGTTACTCCATAGATCGTCAGTAATGATTCAAGACAGCAATAAGATGTCTAGACAACCTTACCAAGTCAGCATAAGTTACAAAATCTGTACCCGTATATTTCCAGATGTGCCAGTTTTTGTTGTACAAGCGGCAATATGAGAAATCAAGCTTTTTGAGCCTTGAGATTATTTTTCCCCCTCACAAAATCCTTGTACAGTTCTGCATGATAAGGACGCTAACAATTACGTGGCGATGGATGGGTCAATCTTGTCTGCCGAGAGACCTTTTTCACTCAAATTGCCCGCATTTATCACAAGACAAGTGCAAGTGCAACACCCGACAACAGAGACCTAACTACGAGAAACTCGTTATCTACAATCGCCAGCCTCTAAATCTATCATAAACCCTGTCAAAATAATCACGATCCCCCATTATCCAACCCTTTTTGGCACAATCCGGGAAACGGAACAACAACTTTACAGGAGAACTTGATAGAAAGATTTCCTCTTTCGGCTATATCTCAACACCACAACAACCCACACCTTCTTTAGAACATGCCACCAACTCAGCTACCCGCGTCGGGGAACCCTTTGTTAGTTTAGTCAATGCAAGCTCCATCATTTGAGGAAGGTCACGAGTTACTGACAAAGATGCGAACAGGGTCTTCTTTGATATCACTGTTGGAGGTCAGTCATTACTCGTTACTTGTGGCATCATCCATCCAGAAATATTTACTATTTTTGGACTTGCACACAGGAAAATGACGGGGAATAATGAGCAGCATTCCGAAGTTTCGGGATGTTCCACGACAGACAAATCACAAATTGTGTGATTTCTTTATTGGCCGTCGCACGTGATTTGCTCCCCTGATTCCCCCTCGAAAAAGCTTTCATATATGCGAGCTAGTGTATCGAGCGAGGCACAAACTTCATTGTTTCTTTGCTAGAATTCTTTTTACAGATTGTCTATTTTTGACCTTTCTCAAATTCTCCGAGGTATTAGCCAAGCTGAACCAATCTCTAACATCATCTAGGCGAGCCACTCGGCCGTATTCAATTCGAGCTCTTCGCCGATGTAGTTCCCAAGACCGCTGAGAATTTCCGTCAATTCTGTACCGGAGAAACCAAGAATCATCTCGGGAGACCTCAAGGATACAAGGGCAGCAAATTTCATCGAATTGTATGGTTCTCATTCTACCCCTCTTTCGCCATATTAGAACTAACATTATGCGTAGATCAAAGATTTCATGTGCCAGGGTGGTGATTTCCAAAATGGGGATGGTACTGGCTCTACCTGTATTTATGGATTGAGTAAATTCGATGATGAAAATTTCACCTACAAACATACGGAACCTGGACTTTTGTCGATGGCTGTATGTTTCCACCTCGATTTTTCTGCCAGCCCTTTACATGAGTATGAGACTAATCATGACACAGAATGCTGGTCCAAATACCAACGGCTCTCAATGTAAGTGCTCTAATCTTTCAGATTATATTTTCAAGATTTAACTCTGCAGCCTGAACCTCTCTCCCTTCCAACTCTCTTCCCATACCCAAGCCCCAAAACCACATCACTAATCTCCCTCTAGTCTTCATAACCACCGTCACCACCCCTTTCCTCGACAACAAACATGTTGTCTTCGGCAAAGTAGTCGACGGAATGGACGTCGTTCGCAAAATGGAAAACACACGCACAAATCCTAAAGATGCACCTCAACTACCAGTCGTCATTTCTCTCTGCGGAGAAATGTAAATTTGAAATTAGGGGTACATAGGTTTCAGAATCGAACTGTGGAGGTAACGAGTGAGAATGGGTTTGCATAATTGAGATCGTAGGGTTCCTCTGGGGTGAGTATGAGATGAAGGCGAACCGAAAAATTAGTTCCCATGGGGAGGAGCGGTACATATCATGCATGAATCTAGAGATCTAAGATTGAGATTGAAATAGTTACTTGGTATCTTATCTCATCATCTCCATCCAAATCTCTACATCTCTTACGCATGACGAACACACCTTTCACACCAATCTTCCCGAAAATCTAGCAGATATACAATTTTTCCAGACTTAATACTACGTACTATTCATTGTATGGTTCCGCCCCAACATGTACCAGTTCCTCCAAAACCGCAATGCAGACCATACCACACACCACACACTAGCACAACCCCCCCTTCCCCCCCAAGAAACAGAAATTACTGCACAGAACTCACTTTACGCACTTCAATATAGATATGTCTACCCACCCCATCCATATCCATATCCATATCCATATCTCTCGTTGATCAAACCACTCACCCTCCACCTCCTCCACCTCCTGTCAGCGGTACGCCAGTACACCAATATGTCAGTACACGAAACATACAGCGTCCCAGATAGATTCTCTATTATATCTCTTTCATTCTCTACTATCTCTACCCTCTAAATCCCATCCTATTCTATCCCATGCAAATCCTATCTATCTCATTATTCCAACCCCAATTCCAACTCCAATTCCAACTCCTCACTAACTTACTTACTTATATATTTTATAAGATTACATCCAACATATCCAATACATTTTATACAGTACAGTGCAGTACGTACAACAACTAACTCATATCCTCATATTCTCATGTTTTCCTATTTTCATTTTCGTTTTCATTTTCCCATCCACGCATATATACTCGAGAAGATCATATACTTTTTTATTTCATTTTATTCTATTTCATTCCATTCCATTTCATTTCATCATTTCATCAATACGAGTACACACACTATTACCGTTATTATACAAGAACTATCATCTAACTATTTATTGTATTATTTCTTCCAAAAACATGTATATATATATACGATCTATATATACATCTATACATCTATATATATATAAATCTATCTATACTACTATAAATAAATTAAATCAAATTACATATACAATAACAGGAATATATAATCTTACAAATACAAATGAACCATATACTACATATAGTATTAGTAATAGTATCAGTTTTATTTCCATTTCATTTCATTTCGATATTTTCGTTTCAGTTACTGTTACTGTATAGAGAGAAAAATCAAAAGAGAGGTTATATATGCCTATCTACTCAGTACTAGAGTACTATAAGTAAGTATACATACGAAAATAAAATATAAAAGCCATCATTAGCAAAATATCTATCTAGTATCCTTATAATAAAAGACTTCTATTTATATTTCTTTCGTTCATTCTATATATACTCTCATTTTCACCATGACTCTCACTCTCACTCTCACTTACATTTAGTGATTTGGTTTACGGATTACTCGTTCGTTTACTGTACGTATAGTAAGTCTTATATGTATGTATATATGAATAAAATCAACATCTCCCCTACCTACCCTGCCCTACTCTACCCTGCTACTTACTTCCCATACTCCCTTCTACCATACCATACCATCAATCACTAATCACAAATCACCACTCACCAATCACATCAAGAACACATACATTATTAAGCTTATGTACTCAGTATAAAATATAATATTCATAAAGAAGTGCTCGCACTCGAGTATGAGATCTAAACAACTAAACACCTAAACACCTATGCATCTAAAACACCAATCTCCCCAAGCCCAAACAAAAGAAAATGTATGTAGTAAAAAGTTGGGTATCATCCATAACCATATCCATATCCATATCCATATCCATTTCAATTCATGCACCAAATGCCGCATTCATATGCACATATCCATATACATATACATATCCATATCCACATCCATCATCACAAAAGAAAAAGTAGTCGTCGTCGTCAAAGAGAAAGTAACAAAAGAAAAAAGCTGTATTGTATGTAAAAGTGGTAGAGAAAGAATGCGGAAGGAAAAACGCCGCGAGATCCGATGTAAACAAGGGGGAGGAAAAAACTCCTGATGCCGAACTCCTAGGGTATCCTATCTATCTATATATCGAATTTGGTTGTGTTGTTGAGTTGAGTTGTCTCGAAAAGGGGGTGTATCTATCTAATCTATATATGATGTATTCTCACCTCTACTCTGCCGATTCCTCCCGTGTCTGTTGGTGAACTCAATCGACGTTGCGTCCTCGAATTTGGATCGAGCGCTTCATGAAAGGTTCAACAGAGATCTTGGAGCCGCTTGCTGATGCCACACCAGATGGAGCTCCCACACCTGCTTGCGCAGCGGTTGCAACACTGGTTGGTTCCGCTACGCCTGAGGTGAGAGTGACGTAGACGGTGACAGTGGTGAAGCCCTGTTGAGTGGCAGGATAAGTGGTGGTCGCTGCTTGCTGGGTGGTGGAAGGACTTTGTTGAGTGATGGAGGTTTGTTGAGTGATGGAGGAGGATGCGGTGGTTGGTTGCACATGAGCTGTTGTTCCGACCGGTGAGCTGGCGCCAATTCCAGTGGAAGCAGCTATACCATTGGGAGTTGGAGTAGCAAAGAGTTCGGTGGTGACGCGAAGAGACCATGGTTTTTGAGCGGCGGTGGGATCGACGACAAAAGGATTGACCATTTGACTCCATTGCGCAGCGTTGTTGAGATCTTGAGGTGCAACATACGCGATGGGCTCTGTGTTGACAGAGCCAGCGATGGCAATATCAGCACAGGCGGTGTAGCTTTGATTGAGGGTTTGTTTGCCAGTGGTTTGATCCATGGTGGGCCAGTCCCAAACCCAGTAGATGCTGTAGTCTTTGTTTGCTTGTGCTTCTGCTGGGATTTGGAAGTCGGTCTGGCACCAGAGATTCACCCCCATGAGTCCGTCCGTTTCATGATAATAGGCTGCTTGTCTTGCCATAGCGAGGGTTGTTTTGTTGGTGGGGGGGTCCACAAAGAGATCGCCGTTGGTGTTGCCGGCGAGGAAGCATTCCATGTCATCGAAGTACTGAACGGCAAGAAGCTTTCCTCGCTTGTCTCCACCAGTTCCATCTTTGTTCCATACCTTGTGAATGGAGTTGTACATGTCGGTTGCTTTGCTGTCTGCTGTTCCGTAAACGTACACGAGACCGCTGCCAAATCCCTTACCCAAACCGTCCTTGGCTGATTGGGTGGGTTCAGTAACATGTCCATTCTCTTGGTATCTGATGGCAACAAAGTCTCCTGGAGCAGCGCTCAAAGTTGGGAACAGAGGGTTCACCGCTGCTCCCTTCAGTTGTTTTGGGCCACAGATCGGCGCATCATTAGGGATGATGTTTTGAAGTTCGTAGAGGTTATCGTCGGGGTTGCCTTTGTCTGTCCGAGGAACGAAGCCACGCGGGTAGCCAGTTGAAGTGAAGGTTCCGTTTCGTGCGATGACTCTGAGTTCATCTGCCCAAGTGTGAGCTGTGGTTGTCTGGATAAGCAACGCAAGGGCTGCGATGCTGATCGAGGCTGTGAACTTCATGTTGTAGTTTTCTGCTTTTCGTAGTGTTTGTGATTGACACGATGACTTTCTTGCCTGCAAGGTTGTGTGTTTGATTTAACTTCGAGGTTCGAGTTCTGCTTATTTTGGTGGAGTGATTTGTGAATGCTGCTTTGATTTGGAAATGTGTGAGATTTAAAGTAGTGATTGTTGCTTGAAATGGGAAGAAGATGGTTAAAAAAGACAATTGTGTAGAACTTTATAGATGATTCCCGACCAGCGTGAACATTGTTTAGTGAGTAATTGAACAACGCTGTAGTTCGAGTAACAATAGGGATTGTGACTAGACAAAGGCTATTGTGAGAATCGAAAGCTCTTTATTGTGACTGAGAACAATAGGGTGACTCCCAAGCGAACTCGAGTGAATGTATTCGATCTTGAGAAAAAACAGATAAACAGACGTTGAAGAGTGATCAAAGAAAGTTCAGAAGTGAAGATTCTTGGCATGACTTTTGCTTTGTACTTCCAGAGACAAAGAAAAATGCAGAGAGTGTACTACAACAGACTGACTTGTGCAATCAAAAAGAAATGGACAACAACTGGGGAGCAAGTATTACAACTGTTTCTTGTAAATAAAAAAATGTGTAATGAATGAACCAGATCAAAACCATTGGTCGACGGGAGAGCTTTGAAAACTTTGACAGTACCTAGGTACCTCCAAGTGGAATAAACTTTGTAAGAAGAGAGCGGCAGAGAGCGGCCAGGTCCTATCGTCGGTCCCATGTATGAGTATTCTGATATTTGAAAACATTTTTAATGATTTATTTGGACGTGTTTTTGCGGGGTTATGTACAAGGGAAGGGAAGTGGGTTGGGTTCTTGGGTGAGAATCAATTGAAGGAAGGGATGTCCGCTCGGGATGTCGATATCAATTGTTGATTGATTGTCCCGAAACTCTTGTTAAAATATAAAATGCTTGGCTGATGGTCAAAGTTATAATCCACCAAATCGGATCTATTGACTACAACCAATCAAGATAGTTTCGCAAGTGTCAGGATGGAAATCTTAAGGACTTGCTTCGACCACCAACCAAGTGACATATCCTGAATGATCTGTGGCACACAGTAATAAAGTAACCTAGTTTTGGCCTGGAAGGGTCAATCCAAGTGGCTTAACAGGCGCATAACCAAAACATTGAAAGCCGTTCATTGATGTCGTTGATGCCTTACTGAGTACCTCGAACGGGTTTTATCGTTGGTTCGTTCTCATAAGGTCATAATAAATCCTCTGATCTTTTTAAATCCATGCAATGAGGTTTTTGTAGATCGCCCCGTCTGAGGTTTAGACCCTACTCCGTACAGATCATCCCATTTGCGACAAGGTGCGTGTAGGTTGAGATGGAATCACAAACAAATGTTTCCAACAAACATCTAGACAGGCTTAACCTATACATTTTCGATAGATATGGTTTCTTAGGAGCATGTTTCAAGAAACTCCGTGGGTCCCGAGGTGATGAAGGGTAGAGGCAATCTGTAACGAAGAATGATCGAGTGTTGCCGCCATATTGTTTCAAATTTCAGAGAAACAATGTAACGTGGGAACGTGGGAACGTGGTAGATCAGATCTAGATGTTTAGCAAAGAAAGGTCTAGAGACTACTTACTCGTTGTTATCTGAACAAATTGAGCAAGAGGAATGAGAGAAAAACAGAGAAAAAAAATCAAATCCATCAAGGAGAGGAGTTATCTAATAGTAATCTTATCAAAAAATAATCTAGAGACTCTTACTGTAGATATAAGTATAGTATTAAACAAAAGAATAAAAAGAATAAATATTTAATAATCGAAGTTATTTGTTTTATTATTAGATGAATAATTTGAAGAATTTCGTCTAAATCATATTTAAACCTCATTTAAGCCTATCTCAGCTCTAAATTACACATAAGTAAGCGCTTTTTTATTAATTGGAATATATATATATAAAAAAGCCATTCGCAACCCCTCGGGTTTAGATAACCACACCAGTTCTTTAATACCTCGTATGAATCCATTTCCCACCACTCATCATCCAATATCTGCTTTGCAGTCGGCCGGTCTAGCGGGTCTAATTTCAGGATCTTTTGCAAGAAAACATTATCCACCGTCGGAATTTCCTTCTGCGTAATTCGGGGCAGTGGTTTCAATTTGTCCTGTGGTACCGAGTTCATAGCAAGCACAATCGCGTTCTGTGTACTCTCATCTGCAAACTCAGTATAAGACACTGGGAATGGTCCAAGATACTGATGATGCTTCATCAGCACACCAAAATCGTATTCGTCGTCGTCGTCGTCGTCGTCCTGCACACCGCAATTTCGAGGATTAAAAGGATAAATATCCCCATATATAAGCATCAGCATCTAGATGAATAAGAGTCAGCATGAGATTGGAGTATTTTACCAAAGTATATGACATTCAGAACAACCAAAAGACCATATATCTGCTGCCATCGCCCAAGTCATACCCAGGAGAACTACGGGACTACGCCAGGCAGCTGTCCCAACTCTGTGGCCATCCCTCGCAAACTTGGAATCCACTGATACAGTGCCTCCAAGATCAGCAAGTTGTACCTCGGAGAAACGCTGATGAGTGCCCTTGCTATAATTCACGAGAATGTCGTCTGGCTTCACATCTAAAGAGAGTGATAAGTCAGTTAATTGATGCGAGGAGGAATACGAGGAGGGGATGCGGGGAGGAGATGCGAGGAGGGTAAGCAAGCGCAAACACACCTGTATGGACATATCCATCTTCATGTAAAACCTGCAATGCTTCCAAAACTTGCCTAGCAACGAATTTAATCTCAGGTGTAGTCAGCTTTTTCCTACTTGTCTCGGCCAAGAGATCAGTATCTAAATATCTAAGGACTATTGTTAGCGGATCAACTGGTTCGACAATCTCGTCGATAAGTGGTCGGAGAGATGGCGCTTGGAAGCGTTTGAGGACATCTGCTTCATTCTGTAGTCGCCAGTGACCATGTATACTCTTTAAAATAACATTTCGTTTCTTGGAGTCGCTACAGAAGAAGTTGAAGTTGGTACATGAAAAGTAACTATAAACTGGAATTTGGGTTGTACACATTGTGCTAAAAACCCAAATTCGTAGAATCGTTTTGTAATGGTATACGTACTACTACCCTTCAAGACTAGGGAAGACATTAAGTTTGATATTTTTCGAAAGGGTTTGTGGAAATGTTTGAAATATGAATGGACTCGGGCCCTTTTGGCTCAGAGCTTGTATATAATTTAAGTGAAAATGTATAACG